TATTAAAGTTGAATTTCAAAGCTCAATTTTCCTAAAAAACAACATTTTTTTCACATTTAGACTCTCATAAAAATAAGTTTAAATAGACAGCTTATCAAGCCTGACCTTTATTCTTGATTCTACAATAAACCATTGTCATTGTGCTCTTGCCATCCTGAACCTAGATTTGTGTCTCCATGTATGTCGGCAATGTTGAACCAGGTCGATGATGAAGCTTTGTGATGAGGGAGGGTGGAGGCAAAGTTGACTAACATTATCTTTCAAATAATTCTCTTCTCTATGCCATTTTGGTTGTGTTGATAAGAAATATATGTCTAAATATCAAGACTTCTTCCTTTTCCCACATTGGTCACGTAAACAATTAGTTATTGAGTTAATAAAATTGTTTTACTCATGTAAAAGTTATGATCAGATTGTGCAAATTATTGTTTTTTTTAGCACCATTTGGCAGTCAAGAAACGTGCTTGTTCATAAGGATATTCACCAAAGAACATGGGTTATCTCGAAATCTTTGTACATTCAAGTTTCTATAATAGAAAACATTTGCAGTTGGGATGAACCCTTTCAGAGAAGGGTAGCTTAATCTTCATGTCAGTGTACCTCCCTAACTCATTATCCACAACCAATAAATCGGATCATTGGTTTTATGAAAATCAAAAGAGAAAGTCCATGAGTTGTCATATTGTTGGTTTTTTCATAAACCAACTTCTCAATGGTCTTGTTGTTAGGAAAACCCCTGGGAATACTAACATGTTCTATCTTCTTTGCCTTCGTGCTACTTTATGGTGGGTTAATAATCTTTGCTCCAATCTTGCTCTGCCTGGTTTGGGATTGCATATCATGAGCTTCAAATTTTTTTTTTTTTTTTTTTTTCAATAGATCCTCTACTCTAGCAAGTTTCATCGCAATGTGATAATCCTCAACATTCAAGCTTTGTTAGTTAACTTTCATCCTGTTTCTTCCAATGTCATTCATGACAACTTTTTTTTTCTCTCGGCTAAATACTTGTATTACTACTCTGTAACCTTTTTCTTATACATATTATATATATATATATATATATCCTTGATTTTTTTATTTAAAAAAAGAGCTTGTTAATTTTTTTTTTCCTTAATTTTGAACTGAGGGAGTAATTATAAAAGGTTACGTGGAGTGACATTATGCACAAGTTAAATAAATAATGTAGCTTCTTTTCCAGAAATTTGTGACGACTCAATTTTGAATTCTCTTACAGTTATTGCAAAAGGACCCACTTTTAATAGAGAAAAGCCAAGGTAAGTGACATGCTGAGACAAATCAATGATGGATGTACTTGAATGGGGTATGTAATTGGGCTGGGGAGAGCTTAAACGCTTTGTAATTAAAACCTGATCACAAGAGATTAAGAGGTGAAGAATCCATAATTAGAATTTAGAGGTGAAAATGTTTTCATCAGCCTATAAAAGATTGTAATCAGATGAAGAGGGGAATCCATCATTGGAATTATTGGCTTTTCTCTAGCCTCTAGGTGTAAAAGGGGATTGGGTTTTGGCTGTAAGCACCATCGTGCTCATCATTAAGAAAGATTTGGAACATTTAAATTTTAATTTAGATGGTCAGATTTTTTAATTTTTAATTTTAATTTTATATTTTATAAAAATAAAATTTATAAATTATTTTTATAAATATATTCATCATCAATTTAGACATTATTTATTGATTTAATCTGAGATTTTAAATTGTTTAATTTAATATTATAATTTTTATAAATTAATTATTTAGATGTACTCTAAACAAAACAGATTTAATATTATAATTTTTATAAATTGATTATTTAAATGTACTCTAAACAAGACAGATTTAATATTATTAATATTTTTATTTTATTAAATTTTTAATGATTTTTTTATTTTAATAAACATACAATAAAAATAAAAATAAAAAATTTAAATATAGACATTATAAATAAAAATTTAATATTTAATTGGACTGTCTAGAGTAGGTTTAGATAATTAATTTATAAAAATTATACTATTAAATTGAATCATTTAAATTAAATCAGTACTGTCCATATTGATAATGAATATATTTATAAAAAATTTTATAAATTTTATTTTTATAAAATATGAAATTAAAATTAAAAAAAATCTAGATCATTCAGATTAAAAATTTAAATGGCTTAAATCTTCTTAAATGATGAGTACCACAGTGTTCAACTGCTTGCCGAGCACCGAAAACCGGATCATTATAAAAGGTACCATCACATGTCTCATTTAAGTTTATCATGAAACATTTTTATATAAATTTGGTGGGCCATGTCATTCATCATTCATTCATGCTCTATAAAAAAAAAAAACACTGAATGTTCTATTAGTTTAGTCAAATAAAATTAACTCTTATATGATATTATTTTTAATAATATTTGTTTTAGAATAGAGTACTTTTTTAATTTTTTATATTTTCTTTTTTATTATAAATAATAAAATTAATTTATATTTATAATAATTTAATACGTCATTTTTTTATTGAACATAACATAAAATGATGTAATGCATCGAGTCTTTACAAGAATTTCTCACGCTTCGCGCTTTATTTCTTTGTGTAAGACCAAATAAGAATAGCTACCAACTATTTATTATTTTGTTGATTTATTGAAAATAAAAATCAAAGGTAAAGTGGTAAACTGTACTCTCCTTTCCTCAGCTTGATCTTAGTATTGACACGTGTGTGTGTTTAATTTAATTGTAATAAAAATAGGTGAAAATACATAATATTCCCTCAATTATATATATATAAATCTCTCTCATTTTTTAAACTCTAAAATTCAGATCTTTAACTTTCATATTTTGACCACCAACCCCTTATTACTTTTAAAATTGCCGTTAAATTAACAAAATGCATGCAACATCACACTAATTAAAATTATTTGACAGATGACACGTACTCTGTTGTATTTTATTAATTTATCCTGAACTAATTTGTTCTGGGGCAATTTTGTAAATTTCTACGCAGCAATCGCTAATTCCTATGGCTTTTAATTGTGTCCTCTCACTCTCTTCGTCTTTGCGAGTCCTTCTCTTTCTATGACGGTTGCTTCATGAACTCCGAATTGCTATGAGAGGAGATTGAGGAATGCAATAAATTATGCGTAAGAAAAATATGACTAAAATTCCATAATATGATCATAAAGATATTTTAAATCTATTTCTAATAGCTTTCTGATAGAAAACATTTGATATGCAAGGCAAAAGAAAAGTAGCCATTTAATTATGATTGGACCTTCCATTTCTATGACTTGTCGAAGATAATAAAATTTCGGTTTTTGACGTCAACTCATTCTACATAAATAATTCTAAGGAATTGTTAGCCCAAAAAAAAAAATTTAATTAATTTTTTCCAATGAAAAAGACAACAGAAGCTTAAGGAAACAATTCCACATTTAAAAAGAAGAAAGTGATGGAGGCGGGAAGCATGAGAATGATCTTTAAATGCAGAAGATAAAGTGGGTCGAGTTTATTTTGAACAGGTTTAATTTAAATTAAATTTATTTGAATTAGATTTAAAATATCATATTCTTTAAAGAAATTCATACAATCAAGCTGGACCTTAATTTTTTTTGAGTGAGTTCAAATTTGACCTAAATTATTAGCTATATTACATATAGAGTCAATAATTTTAATAAGTGAGTTTATTTGGATTGAACTTAAAATATCATATATTTTAAAAAAATTACATATAATCAAGTCTAACTTTAACTTTTTTCTGATAAATTCAAATTGATTTAAATTTTTAGCTTTAAAAGAAGACGATGGAAAGTAGAATGAAACAAGGAGTGGGATCTCCTACTCCCTCTCTCCTATTCTTGGCTTTGCTTTTGCATAGTGAAGATGGAATGATTTTTTTTTTTCATCAAAAAATTAATAAAAAAAGAAGCCCACCCTCACTATATGAGGGCAGGACCAAGAACCAGAAGAAGAGAACATTGAAAATAGAGAAGACCTGTGACTCCAGAGAGAGGGAGAGTTAACACAAGTCACAATATAAGGGTTTGGGATTGTTATAAATAGAATAGAATCACAAAATTAACCTTTATCAAATTAAGTCAACATAAACTAATGAAACACAACAAATTACATGTTATCTAATAAATAACTTTAAATAATTTGATGTGGCATGCATTTTGTTTTATTTAATGATCGATTTAGTAGCAGGAATTGATAGTCAAAGTTAAGGTGGGGCATGGAGTGGCCATTGTCCTCCATACTTCAAAGCATTCTTTTATAGATGTAAACATTTTTATTTATAAAACAGGTTGAAACGATGAAGTTAATTTTAGGCCCTACCACATTTAGATAAATATTTACTTTTGGCCCTCACATATTGACCTTTGGATTTGTCCTTGGGAGGTTATCTGTATACAAGGGAGTTTTATGTTTTTTGACGTAAAAAATATTTTTTTAAACACAAATAAAGGGAAAAAATATAGTGCCTATTTAACAACGTGTTTTGAAAATGATTTTTTATTCTTCAAAATAAAATAATAAAAAAAATTTGTTTAGTAACATATTTTTAAAAAGTATTTTAAAGAATAAAAAATAAAATATTATTTTGAAGAACATAAAAAAAACAACTTTCAGGCATTTTGAAATTATTATTTTGGAAAGCAAGAAAAAATGAAAGAAACATTTATTTTTATTATTTTTTATTTTCAAAACATATTTTATAAAATACTAATTTTTAAAATAATAAAATAAAAATAATTTCAAATAATTCTGTACTCTTTTCTTCTTAGATCCTCGTTTAATTGGCATAAGTTATGACTAAATTCATTTGACTGAGTTTTAAGTGTCACGAATAATTTTTTACCCAAAAAAATTAAAAAAAAAAAAGATAGATCGTGATCCTTCATGCGAATCAGAGCGTTCCCATCGAACGAGTAGTAATTACGTCCCCACTTTTTTACGGTATAACTGTTCGCACGGTGTCATTCTATTTCTTCCCATGTGATTGCCGTTCGCAAAACCATGAAGCGCCAAAATTTGGCGGCGCCTTTGAAATTTTGAAATTTTTCGCAGAAAGAGCAAAACTTCAAAACGCAATGTTCGAATTCTTTGATGTTTCCCTCTATCTCTCAGATCTGACTCAAGGGTCCAGGAAAGCACTGGGAAGATTCAAATTTTCAAACTTTTTGGAAATTTTAGATGGATCCGCTTTAGCTACAAGCTTCTTTTCTGGTTCACCTCAAATCTTTTGTCCTTCTCTCTCACTCTGTCTCTGTGAAGGAAAGGGATGAATGTTCGAGCTGATTTCTTATTTTGTTTTGGGTTGCTATGGTAATGGTAGCTATGCAATTTGAATGTCTTGGATCCGCCTGGTTGTTTCTGAATCAAGTTCATTTCGGCTTGCGTCGGAATATTTCGTACTAAATCTTCAGGTTAACTTGATAATTCTCGTGTTCAGTTGAGCTATTATGGTGAGAGAGCAGAGGGTAGAGTCCTTCTACACCAGACTACGTGAGTCGGCAATTGCTTCATCTTCTTCGCCCTTGCTCATATTCCCTTCAACGTCTGATGTGGACTCGCTCTGCGCATTGAAAATCATTTTTCAGATTCTCGAGTCTGATTCGGTCCGATATGCATGTTATCCTGTGTCTTCGTTTCAGGAGATTCACAAATACGCAGGGCCCAGTTTAAATTCATCTGACGAGCCTGTTTCGATCCTGTTGATAAACTGGGGTTGCCACCGGGACTTGAGAAGGATCTTGAATCTGGGTCCTTCTGCACGTATTTTCGTGGTTGATAGTCACCGTCCTATTCATCTTCACAATTTGAGCGATGACAATGATCGGGTGGTCGTGTTATATACACGAGATGATGAGCAGCAGGCTGATTTGGCCTATGATTTCGATGTGTCGGCTTTAGCTAATGCAGCTGACCTAAAAAGTGACGACGGGGAGGCTGAAGAGGAATCTGATAGTGATGATGACAACGACAGTGAAAGTGAAGAAGAGGGAGATAGGGATGGATCCAGGAAGCGAAGGCGAGTTTCTCAGGATAATGAACAAGACCCAGTTCAGCTTTTTCGAAAGCTGAAAAAGGAATATTATCATATGGGCACATTTCATGGCAAGCCATCCGGGTGCTTGATGTATGAATTATGCCATTTTTTGCGGAAGAACACAAATGAACTTCTGTGGCTCGCTTGTGTATCTTTAACGGATCAATTTATTCACGAGAGGCTAAGTGACGAACGATACAAAGATGGGGTTATGGAGCTAGAGCAGCATATTAACAGTTCAGGGAATTTGGATGCGGTGACTTGTGTAACACTGAAAGATGGGACAAAGATCCGGGCGCCTAATTCAACTAGAATCACATACGAAGAGGAGCCAAGGCTTATGTTGCTAAAGGAGTGGAATCTGTTTGATTCAATGTTGTGTTCTTCTTACATTGCGACTAAGTTGAAGACATGGAGTGACAATGGGATGAAAAAGCTGAATCTTCTGCTAGCCCGGATGGGATTTGCGCTTGCTGATTGCCAACAGAAGTTTCAATACATGAACATAGAAGTCAAACGCAAAATGAAAGATGAATTTGAAAGATTTCTACCTGAGTATGGGCTCACTGATTTCTACTATCGGAGTTTCTTAAGAATACATGGTTATAATTCAAGGGTGTCTGCAGCAGATGTGGTATATGGCGTGACTGCTCTGCTTGAATCATTTGTGAAATCAGATGGCTCATGTGCTTCCAAGCAATTTGGTGTAGCTTATGATGCACTGTCCTTGAGCAATCTTGATAAGCTAAAATCTGGAATGCAGCATGCAATCAAGATTCAAAGGGCCATTCTAAGACAAGGAAGCACAGCGATCACCAAGAGTGGCTGTATAAGAAGTGGAAGGAAATTCAGATGGGTAAAACTCGAAGATTCTGCTGACACAAAATTACTGGGCTACCCCCAAGCTTTGACTAAATTCTGTTATTTTCTTATGGATGCTTTGCGTGAGAAAGGAGCAAGAATGAAGCCTCTGCTTTGTGCTTGCTTATCCCAAGAACCCAATAAAATGTTGATTGTTGGTGTTTGTGGGAAGCCTCGTCTCGGTGCAGGTAAAGGAAATGCATTTGGAATTGCATTCAGAAATGCTGCTGAGGAGATTGGAGCAGATTTCTTCCATGAATTGTTTGAATCTTCATGGATCGTTTTAAATGCAGCAGCAGTCAATTCCTTCATGGTTAGGTTGACTGAGAGGCTATGATATAGCATTTCTGCTTTAAATCCTTCAAAGAAGTATGTTCTCTTAGTGCATTTCCATGCCTGAGATTATTAATTATTAATAAAATATAGCATGTGACAACTGATATTGCAAGGAAATATGACTTTGTTGTATTATGATTTATAGACTGTTGACTTATGATTTATATTTTATAACATCTTTATTTGATCTTTCCAAGTTTGTTTCTATAATTTCGTGTCACTTCATTTAACACTCCTGAAGCTACTGTTTTAATCCCATGATGAAGCTCACAAATCAAGTGTCAACTATTTAATTGGAATTTAAATCAGTAAAATATTTGCTAATATGGAAGTTAATAGACATACAAATGCATTCAGGTTATATGACAGACAATCAGGGTATTTCTACAAGCTGCTTTGGGATACATTACAGCCGTGGGGAGGTATGAGTTAAGACATTTTATGAATATGTCAAATTACATGATAATCTGTCCAGAACGTAGCGGATAAATGTTTTATTGAAGTTTAAATTTTTGTTTCTTCATGAAGGCTTAAGAACATCTGATCCTGTAAAAAATGTTTGAGCTATATTATAGTCCCATGTTTTGTTTAGCAGTCTTCCCTTTCACTTTAACAATTGAATCATTCGAGTCGTTTCTCGACGTCATAACAGCATTAGAAGTCAGCGTATTTATTTCAGCCCCGTGGACAGGTGGCGTACTCACTATCCTTCCTATCATCTAAGTTTGCATGCACATCAATATGTTTGTGTATGTTTATAGGTAGCAAACTTGCACACTGGTAAAGGGTTGTTCTTGGTGCACTATTTGATCCTTTTCTTTTGCCTGGGGAGATGCTTTTTGTATAAAATTATAAGGGTGCTGGAAATCTGAACTAATTAATTTTAAGCATACTAAATGTAAAACTGTTGTTATCTGTAGATTGCAGTACATGGTCGAAGGAGTGATACTTTTATAACTTCATCCGTGGCTCGTTATATAATTACGGTGAAATTAGTACTGAATAAAATGCGACATTGGTTGTTAATGGTGATAAATATCGCGTGTTGTACTTTTTAAGTGGTGCCCTGTGGCATATGCCTTGTGCACCCTTTTCAGGCCAGACTTCAGTTCCAATATCCATTATCTGTTATAATCTCCGTCTCTCTTCTATTCTGTCTTTTTTCATCCTACATGTTTTTGCTAGATGACAGACATTTAATCTCTCCAATTCTCCTTGCTTGCCATAGCCATGTCAATTGTCTTTCCAACTAACGTTTCCCCCTGCTTCTGTTTGACAATGTATTGGATTTGGACCCTTAGTCTCACCATGCAGCTGCTTACAATTCCAAATTGGTAAATGTTGGCAAGCTTCATAATTTCCTCATTTCCCATCTAGTATCTAAATTGATTTTTAAGCTACTGAATTTGCTACCATTTTTTTCATCCAGTATGTAATGAGCTAGTTAATAGTTTTAAGGACCATCACTGAATTGAAGAATGAAGATCTTGAATGACAAATGAAATTCACATTCTGGTTTCTGGTCAGTCACTGTCACTGCCAAGGAGTGGATTAATCATTGAATTGAGCCTGTTTCAACTTATCTGGGTTTAGAAATCTAACATTAGACAATTCACAATTTTATGTAGTTATTTTGAATCGCATAATCATGTGTGCCACGCTTCAGTGTTGCAAGCCATGACTCTGGAGCTTTTTAGCCAGAGTTATGATGTCATTGACATCTATAGAAATCATAGCTTCAAGAGTCCCAAGCACAATTTGACTACTGTCCATCATTATAAAGTTTGTTATTCCACAATATTCTGTCAATTTTAAGCGTAATTGATGTGTTTAGTTTTAAGCATTATCTTTGTCTAAGCTATTCATTGAAATATCTCCACTCCTCACCAAGGCCAAAAGTTGCCAACTTCAGGATTTACATGTGCATCTTTTCTTAGATATGCCTTATATTTTAAAATAACTTTACTGTCGACGGAATGATTATTCATTGCCTCTTTGCAATAGGACAATGCTGGTATTCCTTTGTATGTACTATCTATTTGCCTAGGGAATTTAGTTTTGGCAGAAAGCAAGATTAGCTTTCTATCCCATTACACGGTCAGACAGATCAGTTGAGATTTTCTTGGCAGAGAGCCGCAGGGAAAGGATGAATTCATTTGTGTACACATTTTGTAGCTATGGTGTTGATGTCATTCCTAATTTTGAGTGATGGGTCCAGGTTGCTGATGATGCTTAAGGTGAGAGAAGTCATCCCAAGGAAAATCGACTAAACTGAAGGAGTTTTGAAATATGCCAAAGAGAAAGAAAATTTAGAAAATTCTTTCAAATCGTTGATGACAAATGATTGAGATAATCAGAAGGCAAACTCTGACTACTTGATGATTGAGATATTGATGAGAAAATGAAGCCTGGAGGCATGGTAAGTCATCAGAGCAGTCTTAGGAAGAGACTAGCCTTTCTAATGGCCTTGCTTTAGGAATTTTTTTTTTTCCTTCAATTGTTTCCTTCACATCTATAATCGGAAGGTTCTGTTTATCTATTGCTACTATACTTATAAAACCACCCACTTGCTGTAGCAAGCCTTGAATTCAAGGTTCAGCATATTTATCTGATACGAGAAATGTTTTCTCCTAATGGTCATGTTTTTAGGAATTGTTTTCTTCATATCTATTATCGGGAGTTTCAGGTTCTGTTGCTGATATACTTAAAAAACTACCCACTTGCTGTAGTAAACCTTAAATTCAAGGTTCAGCATATCATGATTCTTTGATTATCATTGGACCCAGCACTTAAGTACTCTAATGGCTTTTTCCCCCCTTTCATTTTGTTGTACCTCTAATGGCTCCCTTTTGTATGAGAAATGTTCCTGTTTTTGTTAACGCTCACGTATGAATGCTTCATCAATCTGATATGTAAGGCATTTTTCCAAGCATGACTAGATCTAATCCTAAAAAATTTTGATATATGGAAGTTAAAAGTACCACGTTTGACATAAATTTAAATGAAAAAACCCGTCGCAGCACTACATTCAAATCCCAAGCATCATATACCAATTTATCAGTAAAGAATTACATTACCCACATTTTTTTAAAACATCTTAACTAGAATACTAGATACAGATAAAAACAAATTTCAAAACATGGCAGTTACACAACAAAAGGTAAGTTAAAAACTTGAAAGAACATTCACAATCTTGAGCTCAAAGTAACTTGGCTGACCAAATGGAAAAGAAAAGGTATGTAAAAAAACATAAGTAGTAAAGAAATATGATCAAATATACTATGTTTAGCTTCTCTCCAGGTGCTTGAGTCCTATCTTGGCCAGGTGCAATCAAAGTACTAGAATTTAACATTGAACCTGTGAAAACAGCCCTTAAAGTACGAGCCTCTAACGTTTGTGAAGGGATGCACACAGAGTTAAGCAAAACACTAATACTTTGCATGCACCTGAAGATGACAGTAAAGAAAGCACCTGAAGAGAAACTGAACTCTCTTTAATGATGTTTTCCGCAGTGATAGCCTTGGATATTTACAAGTGCTACACATCTCATGATCATTCACAACAATATTGTCAGATTCTCTCTCTGTTTAGAATCTCATCCACACTTTGCCAAGAAATCATTTTTTGCACCATCCAAAGCAGCAACTCTGTAGAAGCCGAGAAGGGAATAAAAAGAAGCTTCAGCTGAGTGAAAAATAAAAACTACTTACCGATATTCAAGTGTCAACAAAATACAGGAATTGTTTGCAATCATATACCTGGGCTCTGTCGTCATCATCTTTATTCCGGACAACATATGGTCTGTTTGTTGGTGTGCCTGGCGCATTTCCAGCTCCACCTTGTCTCTCCTCTCGCACCTTGTTGAAAATGTGTGTATATCCATCAGCTGAGGCCGGATCTCTCTCATCCCAATCACCAAACTTGGGAACAGCAGCACCTCTATCAGGCTGCCACGTCAGAATCAGAAAATCATAATTAATTTCATGGATACAGTTCACAGTAGAGAAAAATCCCCTAAAGACAGAGAAGTCAAATTTTTAGAGAGTTTCCATTGATCAATCACAGGTAATACATATTAAAATTTTGAATTATCTACCTTTTGATGTTAGATAGATGTTTGATTTATTAGCTTGGTTCTTGAAAGATAATTACCTTTCAGCCCAACCCTCTCACATAATACATCAATCCTGCTATAACATCAAATAAGCTCATGTCCCAACATTGTTCACGTATTATACCAAATATCTCCAATGTGCATTATTAGAAACCTTTGATGGTTACCAACCAAGTATCCTAAGATTTTTTTTTTAAATTATTTTCATGCAAGGCATAGTAATAAACAGTAGAAGCACATATAGAAAACTAACAGTTTCATCGCCTCGATTAACTGGTTTTAGTCGGGATCTTCCTGGGGTACCGTGGCTGTTTTCATAGGAGTTCTTTCCTTCCCAAGAGGGACTATCTCTGCTTGGGGTCCTTGCCTGTCGATGGAGGGGTGAACGTTCAAAGCTGTATTCAGACCCAGCACTTTGTCTTGGTTTTCTGCGGGTATCAGCAGATCCTCCTCCATGGCCTCCAGAACGAGCTGGAGAGCCAAAGGAATTATTAGGATTGCTGTCCATGCTCCTCTGTACCTCAAGTGAGGATCTTGTTGATCTCTTTCCAGCTGGCTCCTTTAAATCAGCTCTGGGTTTTGAAGGATGTTGGTCAGAAGAAGATGAATTGTGAGGGGCTAAATCAGGATTTTCCTCTGGATCATTTGGATTCGTCATCTTCGTGCCAGTTCGATCTTGCCGAGCCTTGTCAAAGAAAGCTGTATAAGGAACATTTTCAGTTTCCCAATTGCCAAATTTCGGCACATGAGAACGTTGCTGTCAATTAACAAATTGAAAAGAGCCTGTTAAGTATTGATCAACATAAGTTTCAAGTGCTAATGAATGTCCCTTTACATATGTAGCTCAATGTCATCAGTAATGAAAACGAGGGAGACAAATAAAGAGAAAGGGAAAAAGACAATGTTCCTCTTTCTGCTTTCTTTGCAATGAGGATCATAGTGTGCTACCATGTTACTTCCAAAGGGAAAATAGTGTTGCTGGTGACATCCAGATTTACTAAAAGAACATTTTATGTAAATACCATTTGCAATTTAATTAAATAGTGAAAAACAGAAAATTTTTAAACTCTATCCTAAGGAAACACCCTAGCTTGTTGTGGAACACCTAGTATTTATTTATATCCATAAAAAAAATAAGTCTTAACAGCAATCTTACTAGAAATATCTAAAGATGTTTATACTAAATATATTATTTGTTTAATTATTTTATTTTCCACAGATATTTTATGGTAAGATTGTTGTTAAGAATTATTTCATTTTATGTATATAAATCCCAGGAGTTACATGTTGGACAATTTGGAGGTTATCTGGCATGAAATAACTCCATAGGTAATATATATGGCTATTGAAATTAAATAAATGGGCCAAGCAACAGTGAAAAGTAAACAGGCCATATGGTGCAGTTCTAATTGCTGATTTCATATAAAATAGGGATCCACGTGTCAGTCAAGACATCACATCAGAACGACTAGCAAAAAATTTTATATGATAAAGTACATTTACACGAACGATAACATAGCAGATTGTACTTTGCATTATAGTTTTGATAGATTACAATCATAAAAGTATAAGCAATTTATCAAGTAGACATTAATGAGTTGAATGTATGGAAATATAATTGTATGAGTTCCAAATGTAGGCATTAAAAAAAAAAAAAAGTACAACTAACTACAATTATAGCTATATCAGTCAAAATATGCTTTCATATTAGGTTTAACCAAAGAAACAGTTGAGAAACATAAATCAAAACTGTTCATGGGCCTTCTAAGCTTTTGTGATGACATGATTCTATCAGCTCCTTGGTAGCTGTTCACGGAAGTATTTGGCTGGTCTTGGAAAGTCTCTAGCCTCTCTAATGTTATGGGATTCTGTTTTTATCATAATTTACTTTTACCTTTTCTGTATTTTCTTTTCCCTTGTAAACACTCAAAACCAGCTAACCTATCCTTTTATCTGATTTGGGAGGGAGCTCATTACCTTTATCCATAAAGAATACAACGGGTTTCTAGAGTTTCATCACCTTCCTTCTTTCAATTAAACTAAATTTCAATACAGGGTATGACAGACGTGTACTTTGTCCAAGCTTCTAGCTCAACATCTTTCATTTCAGAGGGTGTGTTGTTGGTTCATTCTTTACTTTTATTTTTGCTATGAATAATAGATGAGAAGAGTAACCAGGTAATTGCTAGGGTAGTTGGAACTATATGGCTAGCCAAGTTCTCAACAAGATTTCCCCTCTCAACTATCTCAACTTCTGAACTTAATCCCCAATGACTTTTCTAACGTCAGTGTGTTAACATTGCTGGAAAAACTATAAATAATCTTATTCCCAATTGCACAAGGATCCAAACAATGCAAGATTAGATCAGCATCTATGCACAAATGCTTGTATAACTCACACTTGAAGAGAAGATCCTTCACTTAGTCCCCACTCTCATAGGTTGCAACTTGCTAATATTAAACTAACTAAATGCAAAAACCTAATTGAACACGCCTCTCTCTATTGATAAGCGCATAATAATTCATTCTTAGGATTGTTATTCATTCAAGTACCCCCCCTTTCTGAATTTTATCAACAATACAGATTTTATATGAGGAGTTGTGAGTCATCAATTAGCTCAATTTTAACCATTTTCGATTTGATCTCTAAAAATGATCCACTTTTTGCCCGAGAAAATTATACCATAGAACCCATACTGACAGAAAGACATCCAATTCTTGATATCTGCCTCCCTTCATATTTTCCTTTAGAAAAAAAAAAAAATTAGATGAGGAAAGTTTCGGTTACGAGATTGATATGACTTAAACGTTACCTGCATCATCTGTTGTTGAGTCACCAGTATTTAAGGTCTCTTAAAATTAAAAACTTCAATTCATTCTGTTAGTGAACAAATTCACCAAAAGGACACAGCAACAATAAAAAGCCTTATTCCACTATATAGAGTCGGGTACATGAATTATATCACATGGTTATGCTCTATCAACAGCCAAACTTTTGGGGATATTATTAATCAAAAAATCTCATTCAACAACTTAATTGAGTGTTCGTTTTAGTCTTCTTCTACCCTTTTCCACAGTACTTAAGACTATTTGTTCCACCATCCGTATCAGCACCTCACAGCTTTCTTTATATATGTCCAAACCATCTTCAACTATTTTCTAACATCTTCTCCTCAATAGAAGCCACACCCACTCTTTCTAACAAGGAAAGAAAGGGGGAAATTATTGGAACCAAGTTTCTGGTTCTTTCTACAGGATTTGCAACAGATTATTGTCTTCATCTATCTTTTCACAGATCACTAAATATAGTTCATCAATAAATTCCGTGTTGTCCTACTCCTCAGGAACAAGAAAGGATTACTTTTTGAAACAGCCTTACTTAATAAATAGCCTTAATAGATCAAATCCTATGTCTCATCATATAAAGATCAATCTTTCTCGCTTCGATCTCAGTCCTCATACTGAGCAATACAAAATTCATATTTAATCCCATGAATTCATCATTTATGTTGATCACAAGTCAGCATATCACTTCAGTGGCAACTTACAAAATACCATTAATAAGTAGGAGAGAAATAAGACAATTTGATTTTCTTATTTCTTAAAGTGAGTAGAAAGAAAAGGGTTCCATTAGCACACAAACCATTGTGAAGTTAAAATAATTCATTCCGAGGAGGAAGTCACAAGTGAGGATCAGCATTCTATCTTGATCCCTTCTTTCTACAAGGAGAAGGGGCATGACAACATTTTCTTAGGAGACCATGAATCACCATTCATCTCTAATCAAATGGCACTCACCTTGCCTTTCAGGCAAGAGTAGATTTCAGGAATCTGGTATTCTCCCACAGATTCAACAATTTGTTGCACAGTACTTTGCCAATTACCAGCTGCCAAAAGACTTGAAGTTGCTTTCTTTCAGTAATTATATCCTATAGTGATATGGTACCCTCAAGATAGCATATTGACTTGGCACCAGTGAGGAAATATATATATATACACACACTAGAGCTAGTGTTTACAAAGTCTCTAAACAACAACGCCAAGTTAGGATGTACAAAGCCATGTTGAGCATTTGATTCTTGCAGTTTGCCTGTTCACATTGTCATGAAGATATAATATAACATAATCACTGGACTTAATCTAGATTTCTTCATTCTAACTGCATAATGAAGCTAGAGGTTGTTCAGAACTTGTATTTCGTTTACGCCCTTAGGGTAGCAACAAACAAAAGGTTCAGTTTACAAACCTAGTATTTTTATTCCTCATACAAGTTTCTAACATCAGTACATTCTAAATCAAGTTAAAACTATTTTCACTCTCATCTCTTCCATCAGATCATCCTTTATGACAAATTGCAAGTACATTAGGCTTAGCAAATTTAATAGATTATATTCCATTTTCTCATTATGTTATCAGTTTATCAAATCCTTGATCCAATATACTTTTGCCATACTCATCCAGCATTTGTCTTCTTTGTGTTGGCTATCATTTTCATCTCACTTGAAATTTTTTTTTTAAATTTTTTAATAAGAAGACCAATTTAAAAATGCTCACACATATTTTGCAAATACATTCTCCCTAATTCAAATTTTGGAAGAAATGACAGACAGCCATTACCAGCTCCTTAATAAACTAAACTTGGTTTAATTTGGACTTGATATATGGGGAAAGAAATACAAAATATAGATGAAATAATCTAATTAAGGTTTCTGAGAAAATTGTAAATCCTAATATTGGAATCTGAAAAACGCCCATAAACTCTAATGTACATACCATCCCTTTTATACACGTCTGACAACTCTTAAACAAAATAATAAGATCTATTATTATATTAATGTTGTTGCTAGGGATTCAATTGTCTAACATTCAGGAATTATTCCAAAACAATATAGCTCCATGCACACAAAGTTCATCCAATAATATACGTACGCATACATCAGAATCCTATAATAAAGAAAAAAAAAGTTGGGTTCACAAGATCAAGTTAAATTTTTGACACAAAAGTAGTTGCTACATGCCAGAATCACAAAGAAAGCTACACCTGGTAAGATTCTGATTGAGCAACCTCATGGGTTGAAAAAACATCAATAAAGTTGCCTAGGTCAATTGACAATAAAAAATTATAATTTTGGTGAACTTAATCAAAACTTTTAGAAGATGCTATTAATATCAGCGTAATTGTAGCACCATTGCTTTTATTCCTACCTCCTTTTATTCTATTCCTTTCTCCATCTATAAAAGCACATTATATTAATATCAGCATAATTGTTTGCAAGCTAATAGCCAGCCAACAAGAGAGATTAGCTTATGATCTGCAAAATGTGTTTTCTCAGTTATGATATTAGTTTATCAGATCCTAGACCCAATGTACTACTGTCCAACTCATCCATCATTCTTCTCTGTTTGGTCAATCATTTTTCTCTCACCTGCATGTTTTCTAATAGACAAAACCTTGGGGATATTTTCAGACATCTATTGCAACTATATCAATGTTTAACAACTGGACGAGTCAATTCAACCATACTAGTGCATGGTCTGGTCTGGAACAAGGCCAAAACCATACTAGAAACAAAGCAATTGAAGACAAGTGAGAAACCGTTCATAAACTGGACAGTCCAAAAGGTACAGTTAAAAAAATGAATCTTTCAGGCTTTCAACTCTTTAAAGAGCCCAGCCCAGAAATGCAGTTTCAGATGCCCCTGCCCTTCTATTACATGGGCCCATTCCTGTGTTCATTCAATTCACCAATACGGAACTTTACAAAAGCCACTTTCTTCCTTCTTCCTCCACTACTTTGTTCCAATGTCCCTGCCTTTTCTTCCAGAATGAATCACACTAAACATAACAGCATCGGATTTGTATCACCCAATGTTGAACATGTATAGATGGCACAAACAAAATAGCCACAGATTTCTTTTCCATTTTTTCAAACCCATCAATCAAACCCATGACTCCTAAAAAAACCATCCATCTGTTTTAAGACTTAAAAGTTAAGAATTACCACTTTTTTGCCATCCATATTGTTAAATTCAGACAACAGTTTACATAACTAACATATTAATTCAATTATGACTTGTAATTCAGACAACAGCTTACATATTAAATTTGTAATTTATCTTTATATTGTTCTTTTACATTTGAAATTAATTTCTTTTAAATATTTTTGTTATCGTTTTTTATCTTTTTTACTAAAAATAGTTAGCATATGATTAAAACATATTAATCAATTATGATTGTTACAGTCTGACTGCCAAATCTTGAACAAGTGTCTTGATTGTGATTCAATTTTTAACACCTTGGATGCTATGCTTCCTAATTTAAAATTTTGCAAGAAATGACAAAAATAGGCTTCATCAGCTTGTTAACGAATTAAACTTGGTCCTTTTTGGACTTTGGTATATGAGGAAAGTAATAAGAATATTGGTGAAATATCTGTCTAAAGTTCATCAGAATTTATAAATCCAAACTTCATTGGAATCTGTACAAAGCCATCAATCTGGTGCACCTGCTTCTCCGTTTTATACATAGAGCAAGTCTTAAAATCAAACAAGATGTAGCCTTACACTGTTATTGTTGCTAAAACATTTTATTGCTTTCCTAAAATATATAGCTCCGTGCAAACAAAATTCATCTAGCAACATAAATATAATCCTCAAGTGACGCTTTCTATGGCGTACCCATCACTAGTTTAAACCTATGACATGTGAGAAGAATGAAATAGTCAGATAGTGACTCCTAGATACATTACCAAGCAGTATAGGTATTTTTGGTGGGACAACGAATTCTGATGTTATCGTTACGTCCTATCGAAGTTATTGCTATAACCCAAAATTCACAAACCAAGGATTAAAGCATAAGAACAAACTATTGCAGCTTATCTAATTCCTCGTTTCGTTTTAATTTGAGGCATCCAAAAAACAGAATTTCCAATTCTGTGTGTTTTTTCCCATTAAATTCAGAATCTCTTGAAAAAGAAACAAAGCTGGATTCACAGACATGGTTACTGAAACTAGTTGCACATATCAGAATCACCAAGAAAGCTCCACTTGGTAAGATTCTGATGGAATAATCTCAAGGGATTGAGATGCGAAAACAAAGCTGCCTTGGTCGATAGAAAGGCTAAAATATCTCCTTTTGGCCAACTTTCTCAAAACTTTTAGGAGATGAATGAAGAAAGAAAGAAAGAAAGATGGACAGTGAAAGGGAGAAAAGGGCCACTGCTTCACTTGGCCAAAAAAGCAACATTATGCAAGAGATTCAGACTCGGAATCCCTGCAACTTTTCTCAAATATCTTGGTAATTACAGAGAAGTAATAAAAGCACAGGCAAAATATGGAAATAAGTAAGAGAAACAAGAAGATTTTGAGTAGGGAAGAAAAATAGCTTACCGCCATTTATTTCTCAGCCAAGCTTGGAAAGAAACCTTGGAAACAGCAGAGACGAGAATTATTCGACAAAATTCACCTTTAGATCAGACCAGGAAGCTCCTTTTACAGAATTGGAAGACCCAGCAAGAGAGAGAGGGGGGTTTATCAACCATTGACCAGTGCTATCGCCAATGTTTGACCATTCTACTTCATTCCTTTTCAAATTTACGTTTTGGAAAAGCGAAAAAAAAAAAAAAATTTCCCCCTTTTTGCTTGTTCCAGAGAACCCAAATGTTTGACTTGGAACGAAATGGCTGCTATTGGCGTAGAAGAAGCAAAATTGCGGGGGCAAGCAAGACCAAGTCCCACCTGAGCTGTGTATCGGACAATCGGCCGTTTGGTTGTTGGAAAATTTGTGGCAAGTAGGTGAGATAAACGATGTCGCGCAATAATAAAAAAATAATTAACATTAACACATTATTATTACCTCCAATTTTATTTATAAGGGATGTGAAGATAATTTTTTTATCTTATATATAAATCATGTTATTAAATTTTTATTATAAATTTTCAGTTTAACTCACATTAAAAATTGTTGAGAGTATTAAAATATGTAAATGTTAGAAAAATAAAATTAAAAATTTATTAAATTTTTAGATAAAGTTAATAAATTTTAAATTTTTATTGATTCTCATAAAATATATTAAAAATTACTTACAAATAAAATGAGATGAAAATTTATACCCAACCTTATTTGTCCATATACATATATATGATATAAATCACAATATTTATAAGTTATTAATTAATAATTAATAATAAAAGATAAAAATCTATTTCACCTTAAACTCTGTATAAAACATTAATAAACAATCTAGTTAGCATAACTTCTTTTGCCTCAAAACATATTAAATCATTGTATTATTTACAAAGCATTAATATTTAAGAATAACAACGCAGCTTAAAGTAATACAAGGGACCACGATTAAAAAAAAAAAAGAATACTTGGGACCATTTACTAAGAAAAAAAAACAGATATTTTTCTGTAGTTATTAGTAAGTTCTTCGATAAAAAATATATATATAAATTAAATATTTTTAAATGATTAATTATAAAAATAATACTAAAAATATATAAATATGAAGAAAATAAATAAATGTCATTTGTCTGTACGAAATTTACACCCATTCATTATAAACCATAAACAGTAGATTTTGCTTCCTCAAGTTTATTCACGTGATAATAAACCCAAATAAAGGATGTACTTGTACGACATTTGGGGGAAAAAAAAGTCTTCCATTGGCATTATCTAGGTGTACGGAAATTAAAATAATTGTGTAGGTAAGACTTTAATATTAACCAAACTATATATATATATATATATATATATATAGGAGGACATGTTGCATTTATATTTCTTCAATTCGACGGTAGTGGATAAAACAGACAACTAGAAACCAGAAAGACGGCATTAATTTAAAATTTTAAACAGAAGATTTTTTTCCCCAGCAAGCAAAGAAAAATAAAATAATAAAAAAATTAAATTGAAACAGATTGTTTAAAAAATAATTAAAAATACAATCAGGATATCAATCAATGAATACTTTTATATTCAGGCAAAAAAAAATTATATGGAATGGAAACCTCTTAAATTTAAATACTCTTATTTCATAATCCAAAAATGGAAAAAATTAAAACATGGCTATGTAAATTGGATTTTTTTTTTTAATTTTACCTCTAACCTAACTTTTTCCTATATGAAAGGAAGACACATGCACCCACACACATTCAAATATGTCAATATTGGGTTTGAACTCAGGACTTTTTTTTTTTTAAAAGAAAGAGAGATTACATTGTCATTATGATAACTAACCATTGACTATTTCCTCCATTTATATTTGTATGAGAAATTATCACTTTTTGTTTGTTTTTTTTTATATAAGCAAAATCACTTATTTCAATAAACATTCATTACGCATTTTTTAAATCACCTCTCATAATTTATATTAACGAGAAATAATTAATGTATGCTTATATTGATTAACATAGGACATTTTAGTTTAAATTTTTTATTTTCAGACATAATTATTATTATGGTTAACTAACTTCTTAAATTATGTGATGCAATTTTTTTACATATAAAAATAGCAGGAGTATGTCATTAGATATTTATATGTGTTTCTTTTGAAAATAAAAATGTATAATTTGAAGGACAGATTTGATTGAACTCTCAGCCGCAAAATCATCCATACTCCCTCCAGCCTCATGTATGAGGAATAACTAGGTGCATTTAATCAATTGTTTTAATGGTGCATTAAAATTAAAATATTAATGGCATGTGATTTTTTTTAAAAAAATTTTTATATACTTGATTAAATACTTAAATTAGAAACAAACATTTTAAGTACAAGGTTAATCATATAAGTTTTTTTATCTTTTAAACAAATTAATCTCGTACATAATTAAAATTAAGAAATAATTAATTTTCTTAAATCATGTGAAATAATTATTTTTTTTATATATATGTGCGTACAAGACTGAAGGAAATTTATATAAATAGAAGATCTATAATACATGAATGAGGAAGGAAGGTAATGTGGGTCGGGATGAGATGAGTTAAAATTAAAAATGAAAAGCAATTCTTCCAAAAAAAAAATTGATAAAAATAATGAAACAACTAAGGGAGAATGAAAAGCTTTTCTGCAGATATGACTAAAATGAAATATGAAGGTATTGGTTGAATAATTTATATGAAAATAAAATTAAAACAAAAAATAAAAGGGGATGTCGTTACAGTTAGAGGCGGCTGTCACAACTGGGGAGTCTTATTGTCGGCGAATTGAATACATTTATTTTATTTGGTCCTGCGGACACATTCGCCATTTTCCTGCTTTCCAACTTCCCCGTTTATTTTTTTTGAAAAACATACCTTTTAGTCAATATTTTAAAAGTTGGATGGAATAATGAATTGAAAATATTAGTAGATCATAGTTCAATAGATAGTTAAATTAATGATATAATAATTAAATAAAAAATAATATATATATATATATATATATATTTAAAAATAGGTAAAAATGATACAATCATTTCAAGTTTCAGGTTTTTGTTTCAAGTTTTCAAGAACCGCCTGAGTTAAAGTGGGTCAACCCAGGTCAATTATCAGAACAAGCCAAATGGTTGAACCAAACTATTTTCTTCTTCGGGTGACGGTTCGACCAATCTGATCATTCGGGTCAATTCGGGTCTTAAAATATTATTTTTGGTCCTTATACTTTACTTATATTTTACTATAGGTTCCTGCATCTTTTTTCAATGTTCTGAGTCTTTACACTTTTATTTTTTAATGTTCTAAGTTTTTCTAAAATCCCCACACTTTGTTTATTCAGGGATTTAGAACACCAAAAAATAAAAATATAAGAATTGATAGCAAAATATGAGCAAAGTGTAAGGATCAAAATATATATATTTTTTAATATTACTAACGGTTTTTTTTTTTGGCAATCACTTCCACAGTTTCTATATTTGATAATTCCATAAAAGAGCTTTAATATGACCTAAAAATTCAATGTAAGGCCTAAATTGAAATAAAATTTTAAAATAAAACAATTAAAAAGTGACAGATCTAGAATCCTGGGAAGTGAGTTTAATATTAGTTAGGATTATTATTTTGATTACGGCTACACTTCATTGGATTTTTTTTATAAAGTGATAAATAGTTTAAATACAGTTAAAAAAATAAAAAATAAAAAATAAAAGCGAGAAACTAAAAGAAGAAGTAAAAAGACAGAAGATGCATGTCTATTTATAGCCTAGGTCCGTCCCTGCCAAAATATCATTCTTTCAATACGTTGTAGCATAACAAGTAATATAAAAAAATTAATAAATAAAGTAAAGTTTTTAACAAGTAATATAATTGATTTTATAAATAATGATAACAACTTAATGAGTCATTTAACAATTAAAAAAAGATAATCAAATATTTTTAATAAAATAAAAAGAAAATAATTTTTTTAGTATAAGAAAAAGATAAAATAGAAAGAAGAGGTAAAAAAGAAAAGTAAAGGAGCCTACACACGAGGAGCCCCTTTATATTGCTTTTTTCTTTCGTTACTCACATATATCTTACTATTTGAGATATTGTCAATACAAAATACAGGTATCTTTTTCAATCGAGATTCAAATATTAATTCATTATATTATAAGATATTATCGCATTTTACTAGATTTAACTTTTCTCATATTGCACTCACTCCCTCCATACGATATATCCTTGGAACACCAAAGCCCATTTATTGGTTTATTCTTATTACTCCAAAGCCAAGTAATTGATTTCCAGCCTTCGTCATTATTAGTATGAAAATGGTATTTTGGAGTCATTGGGCCCATTCACAACATTTTCTTCAAACTCTTTGCCTGGTTCACGATTTTCTCTTTGAATTAAGCTTTAATCTTGATTAAAAAAGTGTTTATATTTAGTGCGCGTGTTTTGAATATGATTATTTCAATACTATCCCTTGATGGAATTGTTTGTTTTTAGATGCCTGATTCATTGTAATTGATCTGGGTGTCATCATCATATTTGATTTAATTTGATTTGATGTTACTTATTGGAGTGTGAAATCATCTTGTTGAATTGAAATTCTATTCAAGATTGTCTCACATCAAGTCAAGGTGTCATCGTAGATATTTCTTGTGAACAAAAGAACCAAATTAATAACTTTCTTCCAATGGGTCAATCTGATCACAACTATAAACAGTGAATTAAAGCCTTTACAAAAAAAATTTTAGGGCCATATAAATAATTGATCCGACAGAACTTTAATCTAATTCAAAATTTAGTTTTTTTAATAAAAATGATTGAATTAAACAACTCATGATTTAGTTTGGTCCGGTCCTAATATAACCCAAAATCAAATAAAACCGGATTGGTCTAATAGAACTAAGAGATTGGTCTTGATCTTGTCCAGCATTTCACTTTATTTTTTTCTTTTTTACCTATGAGAAGTAGTAATTTATTTTAACATAATAAAATTATTTATAGTCGTATAAAATTTATAAAAAAATAATAATTATAAATTCACAACAATCTCCAATAATAATAAAAAATATTTCAGTTACAATACAAATGATTCAAATTAAAAAATTTTTAACAACATTAAATAACCTTTAATATGTCTAAAGTCTATTATACTAAGTTAACTATAAATTTCACTAATATAAGAAGAAGATTGAGGTTGATCAATACTAAAATTTTGCTTAATATTCATGATTTTAGAAATATAAAACACAAAAAATTACTAAATATTATTATAAATTAACTTATTGTAATAATAATTAATAAATTAATTACAATTATATTAAATAAATTTATAGAAGTGAATTAAGTGGTCCAAATGCTTGGTCTCTTGTTTAATCCAACTCGAAGAAAGAGTCTAATTTTTTTGGTCTTGAAAGATCAATTTTTATCTGAATAGATAGAAAAAGAAAACACTTGCTTGAAATCATCAACATACTTTATACATTAGATAAATTTGAGAATTAATTTACATTTTAAAATTTAAAGAATTAATATAAAATTTAAAAAATATAAGAAAAATTATGTTAAAGTCCCACTCATAAAAATTAATTATTATAAGATTTATTAATGACTAAAGTAAAGCTACTTACAACACAATTGTAAATGGCCTTACTTCAGTTATTCATAAATTTTACAATAATTAATTTTTTTATATGAGATTTATAAATAATTCTCCCACAATATAAAGAACCAAATAAAAAAAAATTATATTTGAAGAATCAAAATGATAACTAATATAAATTTGAAAGATTGAAAATTTTACTATCCTTATTTCAAAAATATCTAGTGAGGTGTAATTTTTTTGGCCAAATGACAAGGTGTAATTGACATATTTAATTACTAAATAGCACAACATTATCTCAAATTTTTAATCACTAAGTCATTTATTTTTTTATTTTAAATTGGGAATGTTATAGTTATTTTTTTTAAAAAAATTAACGTAAAAAATATTCTAAAAAAATTGAAAAAATTTGAAGGACCTTATTCACATATTTCAAAAAAAAGTTATTATTTTTTTATAAAGCATAAAATTTTGTAGTAGGTTTTTTTTTTGCCGACAGAAAAATTTTATAATAGGTTAATAAATATAAAAAATATAAATATTTGATCGTTTATAAAGGCATGCTTACATGGCATGGTATCCAACTCAGTCTTCTTCATAGATCCTTTTGATCATGATCTAAATTTAAAATATTATTTAATTTTATATTATTTAAATAAAAATTTATAAAAATTATAAAATAATATTTTTTATTTTTAATCTAGCTTAAATTTAATTTAAAATGTTTAATTTAATATTAAAATTTTTATAATCACTGCATGTTTACGATTCAAATATACTTCCGCCATTGGTGGCTTCAGCTTCGGTGAAGCTTCCAGCAAAAGTTGACTGGGATGGGACATATCTTTCCAGACATTGTGGACTGTGCTTCAAGCGTACCCATGGATCACAGAAGCATCCAAAGCAGCAGGACCTGGAATCACGACGTGTTTCCCAGCTTCGTCGATGATCGCACCTCACACTTCGTTAAGGAGCTTATTGCTGCTTTAGGAAGAGAAGATATCCACACTCTCAGAGCAGACAAAACGCTTAAGAACCGAAAGTCCGTTCCGTCAGACATCTTCAAAGCAATTGAAGAGTCGCGAACTTGTATCGTGTTCTTCACATACAGGTATGCTGCCTCAGTGTGGTGCTTGGAGGAACTGGCAAAGATCGCTGACGGCATTAATCAACACATAGTTCTACCAGTCTTCTACCTTGTTCGTCCATTTGAGGTACAGGATCAGAGAAAGCATTACGAACGCGCCTTTACTGAACATGAAGAAAAAGTCAGATTCAATTTAGCCAAGGTACAAAGATGGAGGCTAGCTCTCAAAAGAGTGGGCTCTATTCGGGGCTGGCTTGTATGGAATGGGTAATTCTTTTGAATTTTTTATTCCTTGTTGAACAAGAATTTTTTATTGTTCTTTTCGTTTTTATCCCTTTGTTTGTCTGGTGATGGTATTTGATCTTTTCTTTAGGTCTTAGTCAGAAGTTATTGATGATATTGTTAAATCTGCTACGAGGGCATTAAGTCGTAAGAAGAGTTCTAGCTTAGTTGGGATGGGCACTCGTATAAACGCATTAGAAAAGCATCTGAGTATAGGATTCTATGACGATGATGTCCGATTCGTAGGGATTTGTGGGATGTGTGGGATAGGAAAAACGTTTCTTGCTAAAACTATGTATGAAAAGATCTCCGGCCAATTTGATGCTTCTTGTTTTCTTTTCAATGTGAGGAAAGTTGCTATCAATCCGTATGGTCTAAATCATCCACAAGAACAGCTTATTTATGAAACTCCGATGGAAGATGGTTCAAAGATGCGAGATGTTGCCCAGGGATGCACATTTATAAGGGAGAACCTAAAACGTTGGAAGACCCTCTTAGTTCTTGATAATGTTGATCAAATTGAACAATTAGAGGCTCTGGCTGGAAGTTGTGACTGGTTTGATCAAGGGAGTAGAATTATTATAACCACTAGAAATGAGCATATTCTTAGAGTGCATGGTGTGAATGAAGTTTATAGAGTTGAACTATTGAACGGTAAAGAAGCTCTTCAACTTTTTTGTAGCACTGTTTTCAAATGTAATGATCCCATACAAGGTTATGAGGAACAAGGCCAATATGGTTTAAATTATGCTAATGCCTTCCATTAGCCATTAAATCATTGGGTTCAACTTTATTTGGCAAAAGCCTCTCAGAGTGGGTTTGTCTTGGAAGGACTAAAAGAACATCCTGACAGCAACATTATGTCTCATCTTCAATCAAGTCTTTATGGACTAGAGAGAAATGAGAGACAAATATTTTTAGACATCGCTTGTTTCTTCAAGAGAGAAGAAGAGAGCCATGTCATGAAACTTTTAGAAGGTGGATTCCATCCTATGAATGGAATTAGAATTCTCCGAGATAAATCACTCTTAAAATTTGTTGATGGAAGAATTTGGATGCATGGTTTGTTGCAACAAGTAGGAAGAGAAATAATTCGAGAAGAATTCCGTGAGAGTCTAAGAAAGAGAACAAGGCTATTTTATAAATTAAATTTGACAATTTTATCTTAAGCCTTACATTCCTTGATGAGTATTAGAAGGAGGTTTTTCCAAAAGTGTTTAGATTTCCAACGCCATTGCATGCTTCACTAGTTGACACGCCTATCTATTCTAACTCTGACTAGATGTGGACTTTGTACATTCCATGAAATCCAATGTAATGTTCGTTAAGTAGAAAAATACTTTTTAGAAAGGAAATGAGAAATACTTCTATCGTATTTTCTTTCTAGGCATATTTTCTATTTTTTATTTCTAGAAAACACTTTTCCATGTACCAAATATTGTCCAAGGAAAGAGCCGTGTTGTTCATTGCACATGTTCCAGTTGTCTAATTTTTTGGTTTAGTCTTTCTTCTTCAGATTTGGTCTGAGGACATTACAAAGTGAAAGAAGACTTGTGAGTCCTTGCTCAATCTGAGTTTACAAGACAGTTGCATGATGATGAGCGCAATTCTAAATTACAACAATGTGGGAATTAATCAAACATGACTAATCTGTATGATTGAATTAATCAAACTATTGAAAATGACAATAGAATACAGCTTGTAGAAAGAGGAGCATGAGAGGATCCCCTTCCATGTTGATTGCTAGGTCGTTTTACTAGAAGAAAGTCTAATTCACAGACCAAATATATTTATTTAAATTGATCAAGAGCATGTCTATAATTTGTATTATTTGGAACACTTGTATGTGCTCTTGAACATTTTTTTTCCTATCTGTCTAGTTCATTAGAATTGACTTTTCATAAATAAAAAAATGTTGCAAGTAGCAATGCATAAATTCATGTAATAATCTATTAATTCATAATTAACTTTTCATTGATTTATAAGTGACATTTCTTAAATTTACAATTAACTCTTCATTTCTCATCTTTCATTGGCTATTTCAATATTATTTATTTTTTAATTATAAATAAAAGTCATAACTCTTCTATGACATTTTAAGAATTCAATATTTTTCAGTTGTCATATATATCTTCACAAGATATGTAATTTTTATTTTCCTTGATTTAACGCAACTCATCATAATGTTCTGCTGAGGATGTTCTTGCAATTTTTTTTTTCCAAAAAAGCTTTCCCATTCTCAACTTAGTAAATTTTATCCACACCATATTGTCTGAGGATTCTATCATCTCTTTTTATGATGATTTTACTCCCTCAACCAAACCAATTAGATTTTGTGGCCAAAGGCTTTATTATATGATTGGAAGCACGTTTGTGAAAACCAAAATCACGATTTTAGCAAAATTCTTTAATTGTTCTAATTTCCTAGCATTATCAATAACTAAGAGAATCTCACACCATCTTAATTGCTTCTTTATATAGATTATCTGATGACTACAATCATCATTTATCTTTGAATTACTCAATCATCCATGAGTGAATATTATTAGCTCACCAGGATACTGATTAATATGGAAAAGAAAACAATATGCATCAAAGACATGTCTTCCCTATCCCACAAATCCAACATCATCTCACCATCAAATCCTATATTTGGAAACTTCTATAATGCTACAACACCCGTGATTCGGGCTCGAGAAATTTTAGAGTTAGTCTGTGAGTTCAAATTTTTTTGTTAATTTAATTAGGCATGACTCAGATATCTAAATTTTTTATCAATAAAATAAAATCAACTTTCATTTCAGCCTTTAGTGCAGGTCACGGGACTTCAATTTTGTGTGTGTGTGTGTGTGTGGTGATTTTATAGGATTTTTTTATATTTAAATTCTTTTTGTTGGACTTTAAAGTGATTTTCTCTCTTGAATATAAAAAATTAAAAATATATAAAATATTGCAATGGGTAAGATCTACATTTTCTTAACGCTGACCTTTTTTTTTATATAAATATATATTGCATACATTTACCTTTTTGAGCGAAAGGCAAATTCGTTACTATAAAATCTGTATATACATTTACTTTCAAATTTGTTAAGAGTAACAAAACTTGAAAAGGGCAACATACATTACTATAAAATCTGTATATATATTATAAGGTATATTTTTTAAATATGATGTTAAGAATATATGGCATTTTAGATCTTTCAAAGTATAATTAATAATTTTTTAAAAATTGCTCTTAATTTGAGAGTGTAATTAATATATAAAATAAAAATGAAAAATATATAATTTTAATTTTAAATATCATTAAAGAGAGAAAAGAAGCAAGAAATATAATTTAAAAAAAAAAAGAAAAGGGGGACAAAAATAAAAAATTCCTGATCTTGCAAAGCTTGCTTGACTTTGGAGGTCTTCAATCCCCACAAAAGGACGACATTCACATGTAAATGCTGTTCAAGTCACTGCTTTGAACAAAGTAGATAGAGACGTTGTCCTCGTTCTCATCCACTTCATCTCCAGGCTCTTGTACAGATGAAACCCAAGTAGAATAAGGAATTAAATAACTAACTAATTAATATGCGAATTTTTGTATAAAATGCAGAGTCATTAAATTAAAATTAGTAACTCAAAGGCTACATATTTTTATGTGATGATCCCGCCTTGCTTACTTAAGATGAGACATTTACCTTGATAAATTAACTGAAATTTTAAATCTTTATTCGGATAAACGGATGTGATATGTTATGTTAGCCATTGATCAAATGCTTTTTTGAAATTACATTTAAGACCTAATATATTTTAAAATTATTCTGCAGGCTTGAGGGTTTTTTTTTTCAAATATGTTTTAGGGGAAAAAAACACAAATGCCCTTAGTGAAAAATATAACAAATAAAAGTTCATATTTTTATAGTAAGATATTCACATTTTCATAACTTTAGGATTAGATATTAACAAATAATTATTTATTGATAATAAAATTCTTGTTTAGAGTTGACAAGTTTTTGTTGGTTTAGTTTATAAATTTATAACTTAAAATTTGACTATTTACAAATATAGATTCATTTATATACAAGTCAATTATGACATTATATATAAAACTAAAATTCATCACAATAATAAGTTCATATTTTTATAATTAGATAGTCATAAATTTACATATTTAAATTCACATGTTAACAAATAATTGTTTATTGATAATAAATTTATAGTTTTTTATTTTTCACTAAGGACAATTATATTTTTTTTCTTAAAATATATTTGCAAAAAGGGCTATCAGGCTTGTAAAATAATTTTAGAATGCATTACATTATAAGTGCAATTTTTTTCTTTGGACCCTAGATGCGATTTTCCTTATTTTTTTGCCTTACCAATGAAATTCTTTATTAATGATTATTTTATTGAATATTACGTTTCTTTTTCTTAAAATTTAGAAATTGTGAATATGATATTCTAAAACTAAAACCATAAAATAAAATAACCGTTAAATTTTATGAAAATAGAGAGAAAACAAAAAATTTAAATTTAGAAATGAAAAATAAAATATTATATATTAACTGGATTATAATAAAGCACATGCGAGTGAAAATAATTATGTTAAAGTAAATAATAATCAATCAGAACTGAATAAAATTTAGAGACGGATATAAAATTTAAAACAAAACTAAAGGACAAAATGTAAATAAAAATATAAAAAAATTAAATAATTAGACTAAAAGTAAAAAAATACATAAATATAGATTAAAGCATTTTTTAAGAAAATAAAATGTGTGTTTTGATAAAAGTATAAAACAAACCAGTATGTATAAACCCAAACTGAATAAGACAGAATGACCTTTGAACCGATCACTTGGTCATCTTGGTTGATCAAACAAATTAGTCACTTGTGATTTGATTTTAGGCCGATCAAATTGGCATCAACTTGAAAAAGCTCGATCAACCATGTGGATTAATGAGTTGACGCATGTTAGATTTTATTATTTTTCTTTCTTTTCCGTTTCACTTTTGAATATTGAACCTTTAATTAAATCTAAATTTTTTAATTAATATTAATATTTTTGATATTGTTGTGTTTAATTATGATTAGAAATTTATACTTATTATTTTTTGCATAAGACATGTATAAGATTTTATGGATGAATTTTTAATTTACTTAAGAATTAATGCTATTTTTATTTAAATATTAGTGCCTTTCATATTCAAATAAAAACATTTTTTATATATTTTACTTAAATTATATTATTTTAATGGTGATCGATTTGATTCCAAGTTCACCTTTGATTGAACATTGGCCCATAAAATTATTATCTCAATTGGTTTAATAACCTGTGCAGTTTTATATAAGTTGATAAAATATGAGAGAATGACAATTAAATTTCAGGACATTAAGTTAATGATAGATATGTCATCAATAATTATTTTTTAAAAAATGAATTGAAAATATCAATTTAAGTAATTGTAAAATCAAAAGTTTCAATTATGAATAAATACTTAGTTATTAAATATAATCCTTAAATTGTAACACTAATTTATATTTATAATTGTTTAAATTGAAATTTTTAATTTTATATTTTTTTAAAATTTTTATCAGGACTTAAGTGTTAATGATTTATCTTATTGACACCTGACTGTCATTTTCCCATAAAACATTCCTCCTACCTTCCTAAATCCGCCGCATCCTGTCCGTGTCCTTAATCTTTCTTCCTTTCTTTGTTTTTTCTTTAAAAAAAATTGCAATCTTGATCTTCTTCAAAAACTGTTTCTAAGGGGAAAAAAAAAAAAAAAACTGTTCTGTTCACTTTTTGACAGTGTCACTTCCCCATTTCTATTGCTTTACGTTCCTTTCTGGCTAGCGAAAAGCAAAGCAAAACCCATGTTTGCAGGTAACGCCCCCACTAATCGCAAACCTAAAATCTCCCATTAACCTTTCTGAATAAGCAAGCCACTTAAAACGAGTTTAGTGGCTTCTTTCAGAAAGCTTCTTTCTTTCTTTCTTACTACTTAAGGCTAAGTATAAAGTTCTCTCATCGCTAATCAGCATTAACACTGAAAATTCCAGGTTTTGCGAAGAACCATTTTCGCCATGCGGTGGAAACCAATGCCGGCAAAATCCAATTCGTAGCAGAATTTTGGGGTAGTATATACTTGTGAATCTTCTGCTCAAGTTTTAGTTTTGGTTAAATGCAAAGGGATCTGTATGAGGAGGGTTCTTTTGGGTATTTTTCTTCTTGAGGAAAGAAAGTTTTTTTTTTTTTTTGGTTTTTGGTAGGTTTGATTTCATTTCTTGAGAGATTTCAGCAAGTAGGTTTTGTTTTCTAAAGAAGCAAGGATGATTCAGCTTTTGTTCTTGGTTCTATTTGCGGAGGGTGTCCTGGCTTTTCTTTTGTTGGTGAAGATTGGGCCATTGAGAGATCTTGTAATCAAGAGTCTGGATCAGCTCAAGATGGGGAAGGGTCCTGCTACTGTGAAAACTATTGCTGGTACCATGTCTGTGATCCTCCTCTCAAGCCTTATGAGCATTGTTAAGATCCAGAACAAGGGTGCTAAGCTTGGTACTATGTCTCCCATGGATCAAGTTCTGTGGAGGACGCACTTGCTTGAGGCTTCACTCATGGGTATGCTCTTAAACTTTTCTTAGTTATGTGGTTCCTTGCTTATTGTTTTAGCGCTATGTATTTTATGGTCGGTAGTATTAATTTAATTCTTAAATGTTGTGCTAATGTGTTGCTATGGGCGTCCTGCTACATTACTTATTAGTATCTTTAGTTGGGGCTTCACGAGAAGGGTCTAGCCACACATACACACGCGAACTTTTTAACATTTTGATGCGTATCTTTTCCTGATTTTCTGTGTTAATTCTAGACTGAAGGGAAATGTGAAATCTTTCTTAATAATGAGTTAGGCCTTGTTATGTATTAATGGTTTTTATTTTTTCAGCTTGTCTCGTGTGCATGTTAGTAAAAGAAATAGTCTTCGAATAGGTTTTTGGCTATCTTGTTACCTCAGACCGAAAGCATGCCATTTTTAACTTTTACTGTGTAGGAAAATGGGAAACTTAGTCCCTCATGAGATTTCAATATAATATAAAGCAGGAAGTATAGGACCCCAAATGCAATGTGACAGGGTGTTCTGGAAACAGCATGACTGGCTGGTTAGGCTGGAAAAACTGGAAAGCATTCCTCTGTTCAGCTTGGATTGAACCCTAAAGCTGTTACGAAGCAAAACTTGTGAAAAAACTGTGAACTGGTGAAAACAACTCACTACTGATTGTTATGTACTTTATATTTTTAAATTATCTTGTCATAGTCTATATTGAATCATAGAGCTTTGAAATCTCTTCACTTATTAGTTCAATGACTGGTCCACCTTTCAAGACATTAGGAATACGCTATAAATCGTGTTCACATCTCTGTATGGGATTTCCAGTCACAATTCTCAGATTAAATAAATCTATTAAGTGGTTTCCTATTCAAACCTACTTAAGCCTTTGTTAGCTGAGACTGGATGACTTGGGTGACTGACTTGTTTCATTCATTGGGATTTATCTGTTTTTTGGATTTATATTTATAAATTGTTACCATATTTGTTGTAACAATTATATGCTGTTTATATATATATATATATATTCCTAAATGTCATATGGTTGAGTACATGTGCTATTTTACTGTGAAAGAACTGTCAATCTGTTATTGGGGAATTGGCATTGAGCGCTGTGTGCATGATCTGTCAATCTTTTAACTAGGAAGGAAATGGAGTCTTTTCTACGGTGATGGTTAAGAAATCAATAAATGAGTGCCTGAAGGACAGAGAGCATAATATGAGAAGTATGGAAAACTGAGGCTAAGCTACCCGACATTGAAATTCAAAGGCCTATAGATGCTTCATGAGTTTTTGCCAGTTCATTGCAACAACCAGTTCCCCTAGTTAACTAAAATACATCAGGTTTTTGCTTGCTATTGTGTGAATTGGAGAAGAAAGCATCCTAGAATGCTCAATCATGACCACATCAAAGTCCAAATTGCGTTGCTTGCTGAATTTCTTTGCCTGGAATGGAAAATTTGACTGCACCTAGAGAAGATGAAGCTGCTTGGTTGTTGATGGTGGAGAGGCAATAGGAAACATGAGAAGAGAAGGATGGAAATTGATAAAGTTTGATGGATTTGATTGCCATGAATGCAGGGAACCCTTAAATCAGTGATTGAAGGTCGTGTTGGTGGCTCTTACTGTTCCTTTTCTTCACAAGCATCCCCCCAGTTAAAAGATGTATTGAAGTGTCCCCCTCTGCAAAGGTTTCCAGCAACAATCTGCTTCGCCTTCATTGGCATTGATGAGCTGGAGGAGCTTGACACACTAATCTTTTGGCTTTGTGAAGAGACCTCTTGGTCTAAGTCATCTTCAATCTCTTCCATCACTACTTTCTATTCATAATAATGCATAAGTTCTTTTGTTCTCTCTGTTTTCCCATCTTTTATTCCCTCTGTTTCTCCTGCAATCCCATTATCTTTATTGTGCCTACAGTCACCTTCACCATTCTTTGTTTTCAGAAAGAAATGGAACATTGCTTTGTTCTTCTTATTTAGGCTGATAGTTTTCCTCTTCCTGACTAGAGCTGGAATCTTGAATCTTGATGCCTTGCTTGAATCTTGGGTTCTTTCTCCTTCCTCCATTCTGTTCCTTGTTTGCCTTTTCTTTCTTGTTTCTTTAGCTCACGAGTTTCTTGAAGATGAGCTAGATAGATGGCATTCGAAACATTGTAGGGATTAAAGCATTGGGCTGTTTCTTAACTTCTATTAATCCCCATGTGTCACTTTCTTATATATCTTGGATATTGAGGTATTTGAGAACACTTGGTATGATAATTAAAAGTTGTTATTACAGGGATACACTTGGTATCTTGTCAAAGTTGACAAAGCTAATACTGGTGCAAGATTCCAATGGTTTTCAGACTGATAAGAAATTTTACCCAAAATAGTGTCATTTTAAGCAATCTGGTATCTTGGACAACAATGTACCTAACACACATCTTGAGTGCCTCTTAACATCCAAGATACCATAAAGATGAGGGTGGACTGAGTGCTACATTGCAGTTGTTTGTATTTTGGCTTACTTTGTGAATGAAAGCGTTCCCTCGTTTTATTCATTAAAAAAAAGAAAAAAAGGATGCTACATTGTAGTACCTGTGATGGCAGTAATGGTGGGATCAGTATGCTCAAGGTCATTTCTAATGTGCAGAGAGTGATATCTATAAGGTGTCGTTGGCAGCGTATCATTTGGTTGTGTTAGGTGGGATTGACTATTGAGGATAAACTGGTTATGGAAAGCTTGTGATGGGAAGCATTTTAATTAAATGGTTGAAATATTTTCATGAGGCTTTGCTTAGATATTGGGAATGAGGTTAGTATCTTTTATGCACATCAGATTCTCCATAATTCTTCAATTTCTGCTGGGCATAGGGATTCTTGAATAATTTGTGAAGGATTTCACCATCAAATTCCTTATTTATTTCAAGCACAATGGTTGCAATTTTTAACCAAGAAACCTATCAGACTTATTTTATAGAAAACTATTTTCAGGGTAAAGAGATTCACTTCAACAGATTAACCAAGAAACCCATGTAATTCCTCTGAAGAATCTGCCCATTAAATGCCCAAGAATAATGACTCCTGTTGGTATGACAGTTTCCATGTTAAGGATATGAATTTTGGTTTATGCCAAATATGATGGAGAATCATATCATACACCTCCTATTTTAAGTTGCATATAGACACTTGTGTGTTAATATCTGTAACACCACATGTTAATGTAAACACTAGCGTGTTAAATTACTCTCTCTGTGTTTATAGCCGGTCTTAGGTTTGGTAAAGGAGGAGGGTTGTGTTAAGCCCTTGATAGTTAATGTAAACTTTATTGAATCTCATATGGATATGGATGGACACTTGTGTGTTAATATCTGTGCTTTATCTTATCTTGAAACCTGGTATTTTTTTCATGCAGGTTTTACATTATTCCTTGGATTCATAATTGATAGGATGCACCATTATCTTCGGAAGCTAATTAATTTGAGGGGTAATGTGGGATCTTCTAAAGAAGAGCTAGAAAGGCTTCGGAATGAGAAAGTTCAATTTGAAGACAGGGAAGAGAAAGCTTCAAAGGAGATAAAGAAACTGAAGGAAGAAATATCAAGCCTTTCAGAAAGTTTGAAAAAGGCAAAGTTGGAATGTGAAGAGAAGGACGTAAGAGTTGAGACAGCTGAAGTTCATGTTGCTTCCCTCCAAAAACAGGCTGCCGATCTGCTACTTGAATACGACCGACTGTTGGAAGACAACCAAAATCTTCAGGCTCAAATTCTAGGTAAAGCATAAAGAGTTGAGGAAATGCAAGCTGGCAAACTGAAGTATGGGTGGAAATTAGATATCATTCATGACCATCACTACTAGTTTTTGTTGCAGAGGCTTCCTTGTTTTCCACAGAAGTGATTAATTTTCACTTCTTACTGAACTGGAAAGCGGCCTCCATATGCGTATGTCCAAGATTATAAATTTTGTAGTTCTTCCTCTGGAATCTGTTGTTCCCCTTCACACTGGATTTTTGTCCACCCTGTGGGTAAAGAAAGAAATTTTTCACTTGAGATCTTGTGGGGGAAGTATTAATTGGAAAGGCTTTTAAGATCAAAATTCTTCTAAAGGATCGAAGTCACCATTAGGGTTTCTAAAAGTTATCGTTCAGAAATTTAAATTTTTTTTCCCTTTCAACATTGCATACGCTGGATTGCAATTTTGCGAAACATTCATTGCAGGGCATTAGTGATACTTTTGGTCCTTGAAAGAATTTATTATTCTTAATATCTTCTAGTATAGTTCTGTTTGATCTCCCATTATGACAGGATTTAATGCTTTTAGGCTAAATGTTATATGATGTGAGAGAAGTTTTCCTCAGAAACGACAAATGATCTAACATGTTTCATGTGAAGTACCCTTGCAGAATCCCAGTTCTACTATGGGCAAAAGAGATTGAAGGGACCCTAAATCCTCTAGAACTTTTTTCATGTAAAAAGCTATTGCAGAATTCAAAATTAAAAGATCTAAAAGAAATGGAGAAAAAAGGATCTTTATTTGGAATGTTCCAACTTGCAACCACAAAATGTTTTACATTATAACTTTCGTTTTGTGGTCATGTTGCAAAACTCACCTTTCTCCATTCTCTGTTTATTTTGGGGTCATTATCCATTTTTTTACTCATGAAGAGCATCTCTAATTTGATTTAGCTCTTTCGTGACATTCATCATGTTCAATCTTTCTTTTGACGATTCTATCGAACAAGCAAGTCCTATCTAAAATTATGAAAGTACAGACTTCTCATCACAAGGATGCAAAAGAGTAAGACGTTCCATGATAACAACTTCTGTTGCTCTTCTTATCTGCTGTGTTTGTTGTGGCAAAAGAGCTGAGTTTGCAATTTTCAACAAATTATTTGGATATCCAGTTTTGACATAGCAATGAGGATTGTTACCATCTTTGAACATTTCTTCAGTTGGTCTTCTTCCGGTTAACATTTCCCAAACAAGAATACCAAAAGAATATGTATCACCTTGTATTGTGATCTTAGAACTTATTCCATACTCTGAAATAAGTTGCACAATTTAGTAAATGCTTACCAAATCATCATTCCAAATCTAGAAAAAGGAAAATTTATATAAAAATGAAATTCACAATAGTTAGAAGTTCAAAATGATCACAAGTCACACCTGGAGGAGTATAGCCAATGGTCCCTTTTATTCCAGATGTGCTAGTTTGCATGAGAGAGTTGCCATTAATGGTTGAGACAAGTCTTGCCAACCCAAAATTACTCACATGAGCAACCATATCATCATCAAGAAGGACATTGCTTGGTTTTAAATCACAATGGATAATTGGTTGCTCACACTCATAATGAAGATAATGCAGTGCAGAGACAACTTCATATATGACATTTAATCTTTGACGAAGATCAAATACTGAACACCTATCTATACTATCTAGATTAGGATGCAACCATTTTTCAAGGCTTCCATTCGACATGTACTCAAAAAACAATGCTTTAAATTCTTGTCCCTTGTGATCAATGTTTGAGCAACATGTTAGAATTTTAATTAGATTTTGATGCCTTGAATTTTTAAGAGCATTACATTCTGAGATGAAACTCTTGTGAGCTCCCTTCTTTTTAAGGTTCAATACTTTTATTGCAACAACATTATCTTTTGATCCTAGCCTTCCTTTATACACTGAGCCAAAAACTCCCAGATCCAATCAAGTTGTTTGTAGAGAAGCCTTCGGTTGCAAGGTGCAAATTTTGATATGACACCTTGGAAAGTTGTCTAGTTGTTGGTGTTGCTAAAGATAATTTCCTACTTTTTCACCTCCCATTGAAAGCAAGCATACATATCATTATAAGAGAAAAAGCCAAGCCAATCATAATGGCCATAAGCTTTAAATTGTGGTATCTTCTTTGCGTGTCATCTTTTATGGCGCATGGTGGTAAGTGCAGTTCACAGATGCCTCCACAAAGTTTGACACTTCTAGTTACTGATATTGCACTTGCATTGCTGAATACTCCTTTTGTTGGTACTTCACCCCACCACATTGAAAGAAACATTCAAGTATTCAAGAAAAGAAATGTTTTGTAAGCCAATTACTATTGGTCCAGACAACTTGTTCAATGACATGTCTGAATATGCAAGACTTTTCAACGAAGCTAGTGAAGAAGGCATGGATCCATTGAAGGAATTCCCTCTTAAGTTAAGGTGTTCCATACTTGTGCACTCTCCAATGGTAGAAGGAATCTCTCCAGAGAGATGGTTTTCAGAGATATCCAAAGTGTCAAGGTGCTGAAGGGTTCCAATCTCAAAAGGCAGAGAGCCATTTAATGAATTGTGAGATAAGTTTAGTAAAATAGAAAAAGATGAGAGGCCAAAAATTTGTAAGGGTATAGATCCATGGAAATTGTTTATTCCAATGTCAAGGTGCAATATATATTTCATATTTGCAACTATAGGAGGGATGCTTCCTTCAAGCATATTTTTTGAGAAGTCTAGGATAACCAATTGGCTGAGATTTTCTAGAGAGATGGGTATCTCTCTTGAGAGTTGGTTTACACTTAATGCTAGCATCTGTATTTTGTGTAATTGCCAAAAGAAGAGGGAATGTTGCCTGAAAATTTGTTTTTTTCCAGAGTCAAGGAAATTAAATCTGTATACTTCCTTAGAGATTCAGGAATAGTTCCATATATTTGATCACTACCCATGTATAGTCAAATGAGTTGGGTTGACAAATTTCCTATGGAATTGGGTAAAACACCTCTAAAGTTGTTGCTATCTATAACTAAGTTTTCAAGTTTGCTGTAGTTCTTTAATGATGTTATGAAATTCAAGTCATTACTTGAATTGCTGCCAAGATTATTTTCTTGCAAATTCAGCAGGCTCAAATCTTTTAAAGTTCCAAGACTTGGAACTTCTCCAACAAAAGAGTTGGTAGAAATATCAAAAACTTGAAAAGAGGATGCATTTGTGATGGAATTTGGGATTGGACCTAAAATATGATGATTCAAATCTATGGAAAAATATTTTAGATTTGGGAGGGTGGAGAACATGTTATATGGAAGCTAAGTCATGTTCAGATGGGTTTGTGCTACTGAACTGATAAAGAGAGATGACATGTTGAAAAGTGAGAGAGGAAGAGCACTATACAAGTTATTTAAAGCTGCTGACAAAATTTTCAAGCTCTTCAACTGACCTATCTCTTCAGGGATCCTTCCTTCCAAGTGATTAAAAGCTATGTCAAGATTTGGAAAGAAAGATAGATTCCACAATGAAGTTGGGATTTTTCCAGTTAAATTGTTGTTATGAATGGAAAACCTTTTAAGCTTCTTGAGAGGGCCAATCTGGAATGGTATTTTACCTGTAAGACTATTCAATGACGAGTTCAGGCATATTAGTTCTATGCAACTTGTGAAGTTCCCTAGAATCTCCCCTTTTAATTTACTGTTCCCAAGAGAGAGATGTTTCAACCTGAACAAACATCCTAACTTTAGTGGGATTTTACCATGAAAACTATTGTTTGAGAGATTGAGATTTCTCAAGAAAGAGAGATTGCCAATATTGGGTAATATGATCCTACGGAGATGATAACCTTTTAGATTCAACTCAGTGACTCTCTGATGCTTGAGGCTGCATGTGATTCCTATCCAGGAGCATAAGTGGATTGAACTAATCCAAGAGCTTATGATTTCAAGAGGATCATCATTTATTGATTCGTTAAACTTGAGCAGTACTAAATAATCTGTCTCGTTTGATGCAGCTCTGATATGTTGGAAGCAATGCAGGCTTATGCAGAAGATGATAAGGAATTGAAATGAAAACAAAATTGAAATGAAAACGAAACGGGAGCAAAAGCCATGGTTGTGTTGAAGAATTGAAGGTTGATTAAGTGTAAAAGCTTTACATCCTGCTAATATACATACATACATACAATATTTTTTAGATTGGTAGTGAAAAGATCAAATAACAAAGCTAAACTTTTGACGATCGAAATTGGATAGCCTATGGGAACCACATGGTATAAATTATAAGTTGTGCACCTGTTTCCTGGTTTTGAAAATATCAAGCAAGTGAGAAAAAGTAAACAAGTTGTGATTGCTCGTAGAATTCAAGAGTTAATTTTTTTTAATCGAAGATAATAATATGGATTATAATATATTATAAGATTTGCCTTAGATTGATAGTCTTATGTAGCAACTAAATTCTTTGGAACCAAATACACTTAAAATAAAATAAATAAATTCCAGCCCAGTTACAGTACTAGCTTCACATAGATTTTACTATTCCTTGGCTCAATGAAGAGTATCACAAGATGATCTCTATCATAATAAGATAAATAAAATTAGATAAACTTATCAAATCTTTGTCCCAAAAAACAATGGGAAAATTACTCTTATAATATATTATAAGATTTGACTTAGATTGATAGTCTTATGTAATAACTTAATTCTTTGGAACCAAATACACTTAAAATAAAATAAATATATTCCAGCCCAGCTGCAGTACTAGCTTCACATAGAATTTATTATTCCTTGGCTTAATGAATAGTATTACAAGATGATCTCTATCATAATAAGATAAATAAAATTAGATAAACTTGTCAAATCTTTGTCCCGAAAAAAAATAGGAAAATTACTCTGAAGTCCCTCACAACCATTCAAAATACCTAAAGGTCTCACCAAATCCAAAATTATATGTCTAGTCCTTGAGGACTTAAAAGTGAATTAAATTGAAATGACAATGATTAGAATGTGTATGTCATAAGATGCCCTTTGTTGACAACTTAGCAATGATAATTCATCATAGGATAAAAGCTATTGACAAGTCAAACATCTACTAGTGACCAGTGTAAATTTATTTGGTGAATAGTAAATGTCTTGTGAATAGCCTTTGTTCTCTGGTAATTGACCATTACCAAGTTATTAATAGGATATTTTATGATATAAGTACTTTAGTTATTGTCATTTCAACCTTATCCACTTCTAAGTTCTCAAGGACCGGATAGTTATTTAAGGATTTCATGAGACTTGTGGGTATTTTGAATGGTTGTGGATATTTTGAATGGTTGTTGAGGACTATGATGATTTTCCCAAACACAGATCTTAGAGTATCAGAAGTCATGACAATTTTTTTACAATAAGTTTATAGTTTTTTGTAATAACTCTAACATACATTAGACTTGGGCCAAGACCCAATGTGATTTATTCTTTCTAGTTTATACTCCAACACATCATGAATTATAATTTAAGTCTTGTACCTAAAAGAAAAAAAAAACTTCTATAATTTTGGGCTCTGGCCTCATCTTTTATCAAAGAAGAGAAAGAAAAAGAAAAAAAAACTTGTTAAGTCACCAATCACACATGACATATTATATATATATATATATATATATATTCTTAGAATAAACATTAAATACAATAACAAAATTATTAATCACATATGCATGTCTTTCTGATGTACATAAATAATACTGAACAGGTAGCTTTAATCCAAAAGCAAGAAAAATAGTAGACAATCATAATTCGCATGTACATCTCACCTTATCTAAACCTTTTAATTTAGATTTTTTTTAAACCGTCCAAAGTTTGTTTAGGGTATTATGATGAAAACTATTTTCTAAGTTAATATTTAACACTTTAAAAAGATTTACTAAGAAAATAAAATTTTGATTAGTCATCATAATTATATTTTGGATTGTCATATATCCATATCGCACATATTAATTTTCAAAGCCCTGACCAAAATTATAGATCCAATGTAGGCCAACTAGATTCATGGGAGAGCCTAAAACCTCTAGAATTGTTTGCAGAGTTCCAAGATAATAAAAAACAGAATGGAGGATAATTAAATTATCTTTATTTGGAATGTTCCAATCATAAATTTCAGAATATCACAGATCTTGTTCTTTGGAGAGCATCACTGCTGAAGTGGCATTTCCCCATTCTTTGCTTATCATCCTTTTCTTTTATTGAAACAACAAGTACTAATTTGATTTAGCTTCCTAGTAACATCCATCATGTTCAGTCTCTCATTGTGTGATTTGACTGAGCAAGCAAGTCCAATCTCAAATAATGAAAATATAGTCTTCTCATGATTACTATGATGCAGAAGACTCAACTCATCCATCCTAATTTCTTCTCCTGTTGTTGTTCTTGTTTGATCAAGAGCAGAGTCCACAATATCCAAAAGGTTATTTGGATATGCAGCTTTCACATAGCTATGGAGATCATGGCCATCTTTAAACATTTCATCTGTGGGTTTTCTTCCAGTTAACATTTCCAAAATGAGAATGCCAAAAGAATATACATCACCCTGGGTTGAAATCTCAAAACTTATTCCATACTCTGAAATGAGTTGCATGATGGTCAAAACTTAGCAATTCATATTCTAAAGCTAACAAAAGTAAAATCCATATATAAATCCATATATAAGTGAATTTCAATATTTAAAATGTTCAAATGATCATAAATCATACCTGGAGGAACATAACCAATAGTCCCTTTTATTCCAGTTGTGCTGGTTTTCTTAAAAGTAGTGCCATTGATGCTTGAAAGAAGTCTTGCTAATCCAAAATCACTCAAGTGAGCCACCAAATTATCATTAAGAAGGATATTGCTTGGCTTTATATCACAATGAACAATTGGTTGCTCACACTCATGATAAAGATAGTGCAATGTAGAGGCAACGTCATTTATAATATTTAATCTTTCACCAAGATTTAATGTTGGACATTGATCTGCAGTTCCTAGATTAAGATGCAGCCAATTTTCTAGGCTTCCATTTGGCATGAACTCAAACACAAGTGCTTTAAATTCTTGTCCCTTGAAATTAGTGCTCGAGCAACATGTTAGAATTTTAACCAAATTTCGATGCCTTATGTTTTTTAAGGCATTGCATTCTGAAATGAAACTCTTTTCTGCTCCTTTCACTTGAAGATTCAATACCTTTATGGCAACAATTTTATCTTCTGAATGTAGCCTTCCTTTATATATTGTGCCAAAACTCCCGGATCCAATCAAGTTGTTGGTAGAGAAGCCTTCAGTTGCAAAGTGTAGATCTTGATATGACATCTTGGAAAGTTGTTCGATTGTTGGTGAAGCTGAAGCTGATTTCTTACTTCTTTTTCGCCACCAATATAAAGCAAGAACAAATATCACTAGAATAGAAAATGCTACACAAATAATTATTATTGTGAGCTTCAAATTGTGGTTCTTTTTGACAGGGCATTGTGGTAAGTGCAGTACAGAGATGCCCCCACAAAGCTTCATATTTCCCATCACCGATACTGCACTATTATTACTGAAAACCCCTTTTGTTGGTACCCCACCCTCCAACATATTGAAAGAAACATTCAAGTATTGAAGAAAAGAAAGGTCCTGTAAGCTAGCTAATATTGGCCCAGACAAGTTGTTTCGTGACATATCTAAATGGACAAGACCTTTCAAAGAAACTAGTGAAGAAGGCATGGGGCCATTGAAGGAATTCCCTTGTAAATTAAGGTATTCCATACTAGTACACTCTCCTATGGTAGAAGGAATCTCACCAGAGAGATGATTTTCAGAGAAATCCAAGTTGTTGAGGTTTTTAAGGGTCCCTACCTCTATAGGCAAAGCACCATTCAATGAGTTGTGAGATAAGTTCAATAAAATGGACAAGGATGGAAGACCAAAAATCTGCAAGGGTATGGATCCCGTGAAGTTGTTTTTGGAAAGGTCCAAATGTTGTAAATTTTTCATGCCTCCAATCATAGGGGGGATTTTTCCTTCAAGCATGTTGTCAGACAAAATTAGCAAATACAATCGGCTAAGATTTCCCAGGGATATTGGAAACTCTCCTGAGAATTCATTTCCCTCAAAAGTCAACACTTGCATCTCATGAAAATTTCCAAAAGAAGTTGGAATGTTGCCTGAAAATTTGTTGAATTCAAGATTCAAGAGAATTAAATTTGTGCACTTTCCTAGATTTCCAGGTGCAGTTCCAGATATCTCATTCCTTCCAAGGTTCAGTTGAGTGAGTTGGGTTGACAAATTTCCTATGGAGTTGGGTAAAACACCCCCAAATTTGTTCCAGGCTAGAGATAACTTTTCCAATTTGCTGCAATTTTTCAAAGATGATATGAAATTCAAGTCGTCATTTGAACTGCTGCCTAGATTGTTAAGTTCTAAATCGAGCCAACTCAAATCTTTCATGTTCCATAGATTAGGAACTTTTCCCCTAAAGTAGTTAATAGGAATATCAAAAATTTGGAGAGATGATGCATTTGTGATGGAATTTGGAATTGAACTTGAAATTTGATTCCCAGCTATGCCAAAAATTTGCAAATTTGTGAGGGTGGAGAACATGTTGTTCGGAAGCCGAGTGCCATTTAGATGGTTCATTGCAACCACTATATAAGTAAGAGATGACATGTTGTAAAGTGAGGAAGGCAGGCTGCCAGACAAATTATTAGTGCCTACATTTAAACCTCTCAAGCTCTTCAAATGACCTATCTCTTCAGCTATGTTTCCTTCCAAGTAATTATGAGCAGCTTCAAAATTTTGGAGAGAGGAAAGGTTCCATATAGAAGAAGGAATTATTCCAGTTAACTTGTTTTTGGAAATAAGCAACATTTCAAGCTTCTCAAGTAAGCCAAGTTGAACTGGAATTTTACCTGTAAGACTATTCCATGACAAATTCAAGCGCCTCAGTTCAGTGCAGCTCGACAGGTTCCAAGGAATCCCTCCTGTCAATTTGTTCCCAAGAGAGAGACGTCTCAGCCTGAACAAACGTCCCATCTCTGGTGGGATTTCTCCATTGAAACTATTGTCATTGAGGAAGAGATTCCTCAAGAAGGAGAGATTGCCAACATAAGGCGATATGAACCCACTCAGATGATAACCTCGCAGATTCAACTCTGTGACTCGTTGATGCTTGAGGCTGCATGTGATTCCTGTCCAGGTGCAAAAGTGATTCGAACTATTCCAAGAGCTCAAGACTTCTTCATGATCATCAGATATTGATTCTTTAAACTTGAGCAAGGCCAAATAATCGGTCTCGTTTGATGGTGCTTTGACATGTAAACAAAACAAGTTTAGATACATGATGGCAAGGGTTAGTAATGTTTGCAGGTATTTGGAATGAAATGGGAGTGACATGGACGCAAAAGCCATGGTTGTGCTGATTAAGAAGTGAACGCATATATTGAAATGGTGCTACTTAAACACGAGATTTTGGTTTTTTTTTTTTTTGTTTTTTTTAGCGTTAAGTATTGCCATTATTATCATTGACTTTAGTTGCACATGGTGACGACTTTTATTGGCAAACCAAAGCGGTTCATCAATTTGACTGCCATCTGTTGAGAACAAATTTTCTAAAGCTGAAACTGAATATGATACCCATGAATTTTCATGAAGGTTTTTTAAAAATATTTTACATTTTATTATTTTTCTTATAAAACATAAATTCTTCTCGTTTTTTTTTGGGTTAAAAAAGGAAAAATTAATTAACTAATACTTATACTTTTATTGAGCTTTTAACTCAATCCCTCTAGTTTACAAAATCTTAGGACTTTCTAAAATCATCTATCTCGGATAAAACTTAGGACCACGTTAACAAAGGATGGGATTAAAAGGCACATCACCAGTTGCCAGATCACCCTTAAATCATACTAAGATTTGAACCCAACCTGATAATCCATCGTTGAAATTAAACATTTTTCTAGGTATCAATGAAAGTATCCGTGCAATACATAAGCATGATATCACATGAATATAACCTCAAATATGAAGGATTAAAAGAGGGTGACGCACTTGAGATAGGGCTGGGCTTGGGTTCAAATGTGGATTGTGTAGGGTGACGTGGCAATTGGTGATGGCTAGAATGTCAAACATGATTTAATTTTTTATAAACTAGAAAAACTAAGTTACAGGTCATTAAAATATAAGGACTGAATTGAAAACTCAATAAAAATAAGGATAGACGAACTAATTTTTTTCCTTGTTAAAAAATAAATTTCATAAAATTCTCATTTTCTTAATTCTAGCGATCCATTTCCGTAATGTCGTTACTGTTTTGTGTCGACTTCATATTTACTATTTTGTGATTTGTTTATTCTTTGATTCTATAAAGATTTTCTTCTCTTTCATATTCTAAGCTGTAGTAGGTATTTTTCTAGCAAAAAAATTAAAGAGGGTAGGTATTAGTTCATCATTCCGTATTGATACCGCTGCTTCATCATGCTCCAAAACCAAAATACAAAAGTAAGTAGATTAAATCATAAATAATGAAATTTATTTTATCATAAAAAATTCTCTTATTAAATAAATTTATCTTACTATATATATTATATGAACTCTTATTGATAACTCAAGATGACAACTGATAATTTATCTTGTCATATATTAGAGATTTAGGGCAGGTTAATTAGGAATGAGGATTGAATTTTGGCAAATTCTAAAATTTAGGCAAATGTTGATTTACTTGACTCAGACAGACGGGGACACAGGCAATATCATATTAATGGCAGTTATAAGATTATACGTTTGAAAGGAATGCGTGCGGACACTATACTAATTAATCTTTGAGGAAAAGATGTACAGATTTCAACAAAAATCCTTATCACTAGACAACATTTCAATGCTAGCAGTTGATTGATAGTACTCGCTTTCCCACTCGTAAAACGCGAAAACGCAAAAGTCTCGGTCGGTATGGAATTAATTTTTATATTATAATATTATTTTCTTTGTTTAAAAATATAAAATATTTTTAATTAAATTTTATCTTATTAAAATAATTACTTACTTTTCAATTAACTCCATTTTTTTATATTTATTCCTTTAAAACATCCTATAATAAATATAAAGTCATTATTAATATAGACATTTTTGAAAAAAAAGATAATAATTATACCTTGAAAGATTAAAAATATCTCACATTTTTTAATATCCAACTCTTTAAAAAATATCTTATATTTTTGAACAAAATGAGTATGCTTTTCTTAAAATATAAAGTATAATGTTCAAAAATTCAAAATAAATAACATAAATTTTAATTTTAAAATATAATTTAAAATTAAGAATAAATATAAATATATATTTTTATAAATATAAATATAATTTAAAACATAAATATATATTTTAAAATTTAAAAATTAAGAATATTTTAATTTTTTAGGGGTAAAATAAAAAAGGGCATAAACAAGTTTCCTTAACCTGTTTTTATAGAGTCAGGCCAAGGAGCTCAATTATACTAAAAACTTTTAATTTTTTTAAATCCAGACCTTGTTAAAAATGAGTTTAAATGGATAACCCGTTTTCACAAGTCTACCTATTAGAGGTAGGAAATTTCTAATCAGTTTCCTCATCAAAATAAAAGATAATTAAATTATTAAGATGGTCTATAAGTTAAAAAAAAATTCCGAGTTTACTCTTCTGTTTTAAAAAAATTCTAGGTAGTTGTAAATAATATTATGGATTTACTTTGGAAAAAGATATTTTTTTGAATTCCAATATATATTCTTCTATTGAAGGTAATCCCACTGAAGTCACTATCGAGTATTAAATATTTAAACCTAAGTTGCCTATATTATGAAAAACTAACCCTCTTCTGTTAGATCTAACCTCCATTGGTAAAAACTAATTAATGACTTATCTTTTTACGCAAATTATAGTGATTAACACATAGGACCATCAAATTAAGAAAAATTAATATGTTGGCCCTTTTAATTTTCCTCAATTTTAAATTAGATTCTCATAATTTATTTTATTTTAATTGAATCTTTATAGTCTATTAATTTTGTCTTCTATTAAAGACTAAAACTTCATCCATATAGCAGCCTAAAGTAACGATTTTATTTATGCAGCTATGACCAAACATATATAATGATGCAGGTAATGACTCCATGGCATACAAATTCTGGTATATTTCTATCTTCCTAATAAAACCATCATCTAAATTTCAAGCTTCTGCACTGTATTATATTCCAATTTTATATTCAAATTAGCCTTTTCAAGCATCATTCAAATGAACACAACATTTAAATTATGACCAATCACTTAGAAACATTATAATTACAGGAAAATAAATACTTATATATCATTAAATTATAAAGAGGGGAGAAAATTAGTGTTAATATATACAAAGATTTTAGCTGTTCGTAATTATTAAAAAGCTATAAATACACAAAATATTCATAATCATATTAAATTATAAGAAGAAAAATGAAAAAGAAATGAAGAAATTAAAGAAATAGAGCTTTAAACATCTTTAAAACTTCAACACTTAGTCCCAAATCACCCAAAGCCAAATCATTAGCATAACTAAGTCCAAATGTGTCTCAGTTTAAAGAGTGCATTTTGAGTTGAGCAAGCAGCCACATATCTATCATACCCAAACATTTTTAGCTAAACAAAAATGCAACGTTTTACAAATAGCAACAAAAGTTTTGAATAAAGTTGTGCTTTTGGTAACAACTTTGGCAAATTTTGCATTCTTTTTTGAATTAACATGACAACTCATCTTTGTTTTTTATTTCTTCATCTAAACCTTCTAAAAGCATTATGAAAGGTCTATAATTGCTTTGATCATAACCTTAAATCAAAATAAAAAAATTAAATTAAAGCCAAATGTGAAAACTTAAAACAAGATACACATTTTTATAGTTTGGGCAATTAAAATATATACAATTGTGTCAAGATATATTAAAATCTATGAATAATGTTCTCTCATGATAAGAATTCTAAAGATTAACATTAAGTACTATTTGTAACACTTTGTCAAAAATAGTTTTATCATACATTAGATAACCATGTTTAACCTAAGGCTTTAAACACTTATAAAAAAGCAACCTGAAAGTGTTAATTTCTTTTATTAACCATCAAGTTAAACCCACAGCTTTGCTTGAGGTATTTTCAAAATATATATATATATATATATATATATGTATATTATTAGAATGGTGCATTTTGACATTATTTTAAAGAAAAATGACAGTGAAACCCCTTTGAAGTTTTCAGAAATTTTTGTGTTAATAAATTTTAAAGTGAAAAGATTATTTTACTTTATTAAATATAGCAAGCTCCAATTATAACTTTTATTTAAGGAGTAACAAATTTTTTCTTATAAATCTCAAGAGTTGAATGAGAAATCTCAACTCATCAAGTGTAATTAATATTATTGAAAAATAAGTTTTCAAATAACAAGCCCCAATTATAATTTTTACTTAAGGAATGACAACTTATATTCAAAGAATCACAAGAATTGAACAAAAAATCATAACTTGTCAATAAAGATAAAATAGTCTTTTTAATTTAAAAATTATTGACACAAAAGTCTCTAAATACGTCAATGAAATTATGATATTTCAAGGAAATAGATTGTCATTTCAAAGGGATTTCATTACCATTTTTCCTTAGTTTTAAATCATCATTAAAACATCCAAAATTCATTTTTTGGCATCATAAATAGAACTTCTTCCGTCCCAAATTATAGGACACTTTTGAAGAAGTTTCTCCATCTCAAAATACAAGATACTTTGGGTAGATTAAGATTTCATTAAATGCACCAATTTCTATATTATCCTTTTTCTCTTTATAATTAATTTTCGTCTATTCTCTTTTCAATATATTAAATGATGGGTATTTTTAAAATTTTATATTTTTATTTTAAAAATATAAAAAAGGTGTATTTAATAAGATTTATTGGTATATAAAATTTTATCTTAAAATGTTTTATAATTTGGGACATACAGAATATTATTTTTTAAAAAAAAGTTAGAAGAGCGATTTTGTTTTCAGCAACTGTCACCATATGCGCGCGCACAATACTTCATGCTAATTCTATGCATTTTAAAGTATTTTAATAAGAAGATTCAAATATACATTCAGGTAGCATTTTGGATTGATGGATTTAAATTTAAATTTTAAATTTAAAATCTTAGATTTAAAGTCTCACATTAAAATTCTATGTATTTAAAATTACTTGTTTGAATGGTATAAAAAATTTTGATTGTATAGAAAATACACGAGTTGAGATTTGAAATAGAAACATAAGATTAGAAGTGATGAATTTACCTCTATTTTTTAATTAGTGAGAGATAACAAGAAATGAGAGGAATGACGAGACTAATGGAGGCACCAAAAGTAAAAATGTGAAGTTGGAGTAGGTAGAATTTCAAATAACTAAAATTTAGGAGAAATTTAAAATTACAAAAAAGTTATAATAAAACATGAATTTGGATTAATCCAAATTTATAATAAAATATTATATTAATTTAATTTGAGAGTAAATTTATTTTTTAAAACTTAAATGACTAACATGATAATTTAAGAAAATATAAGGGGCCAAATTAATAAAAAATTAAATTTGAGAGACTAAATTAATAATTGCGGTAAACTTGAGATACTAAAAGTTTTATTGTTTATTTTTTAATAATAATTCTAACAAATAATTATGATAGGAATATTTACATTGGCAAGAAACTATTTAAAAAAATATTTATTTAAAAAACAGTAAACAATTTTGTTTAAAATTTTTGTTAATTAGCTCAACACACAACTTGGCTTCCATGGCTAGGCAGTTTAATCTACTCGGCATTTCTTGGAAGCCTGCATACCAGGTTTCTCCAGCTTGAAATGTTCATCAAAGAATTACGTTTAGATCCCTTATAATACAATTAAATATAATAAGGTTCATAAATAACTAAGCATTTATGGTAGCGTAATTCTCACAACATTCATTGCATCGATTGAGCTTCATTACTTCTATTAAAAGCTTAGGATAACATGAAATCAGACATTGAATGCATTCACTGTTATGTTTCTTTTTTTTTTTTTTTTTTTTGACCAGCAACTGTCATGGTTAATGACAATAGCACTGAATCATATTCTTATTAGACACCACACAACGTGCATAAAAGTACGAGAAAGAAATACCATTAAGGCAAGATTTATCATCCAACTATAAATAAGGCATCTCAGTGACTCAACCATAAAAAAATCACCAAGCAAGTACATCATAATCACTGCTCTTCCTAAGTTACTTTGAGCAGATAAAGAAATGGTGAACATGAGCACAAGCATGAAGTTGAGCATCCCAATAATCGATATGCAGAAATTACCTGAAGAAGAAGAGTACAAGAAGCTAAGAGAGGCATGTGAGCAATGGGGATGTTTCAGAGTGATGAATCGTGCTGTGCCATTGAAATTGATGGAGGAGATGAAGAAGGTGGCAACATGTCTGGCTGATCGTCCATTAGAGATCAAGAAACGTAATGTTGATGTTACTAAGGGAAGTGGGTTTACTGCAATTTCTTTGAATCCCATCTATGAAAATATTGGTATCCATGATGTGGCATCCTCCGTTGCTGTAAATGATTTCTGCTCTCAGATGGATGCTTCCCCTCAAGAGAGGTTAGTGTATAGATTCTCATCCATATGTTGATAAATATTCATCATTTTATGAAAAATATAGTTAATTCAAGAGATCATGCACAAGTTTTTTTCAAAATGATTTTTTATTTTTTAATTGCATTGTCATGATTGACTCGCGAGAAATCATTATAAAAATATGAAATAATTTGTATTTCTAGAGGGTTTTGTTCTTTTTCTTTATGTATTTTTACTAGAATATATTTTCATTCAAGCCACTAATATATACAAAATAGGTCTTGTGGAACATTTTTCTTTGCTTTTGGGAATGATTTGAAAATGCTCTGTATGTATGCGCTTCTATATATACCGGAGTATCTTCAAAAATCTCATAGGTAAATATTGGACTATAGGAGCTTTAATATAGAAGTGTTCTCGACTTACCTACCAGAACGTTTTTTAATGTATAGGTGAATGAAGTTTTTTAAACAAAACACATTTTGAAATATACATGAAATCAAAATATAGTGTGATTTATTGTAATTTTATGTAAAGATAATGTAGAGTAGAAAATATTGGAAGAAAAAATTGTAGATGAAAACAAGATTTTGAATAATTGAACTAGATCTAGTTTTTATGTGTTTATGATATTGATATCGCATATTTGAATTGTAAGAGAGAAACATTTTGAAGAAGATAAAAAATTGTAAAAAAGAAAAAAAAAAGTCCTGGGAGAGGTAAAGATGAAGAAATGATAAAATAAATGTGGTACAAAAAGATTATAATTTATTCAACATATAAAACAACAAGTTAATAACTACTAATTAATCTCAATTCGTATCATTTCCTTGTGTATATATGTTACATTAGTCACGAAGCAAACTAATCTCAATTCACATACAAGTGAACTGCACTATGTATGTATGTATGTATGTATGTATTCCTTTCACACTTTTGTTCATGTGAGTTTATGGAGAGTTCTGTGTTGGATTGCAGGGAAACAGTGAAGGCATATTTGGAAGTAGTTCATGAATTAGCAGTAGACACTGGAGTAAATTTAAAGGAGTGTTTCGTGGGTTTATTATCATCTTCATTATCATCAGAAACCAGGGATGATTTAAAAGACTGGAGATGCCAATTTAAGATCAACAAGTTCAACTATAGCCCTGAGACTGTAGGGCTCTTAGGACTGAAAGAGCACACTGATCCAGGCTTCGTCACTGTTCTTCAGGATGATGAACTCATTGGGGGTCTTGAAGCCTTCAACACTTCCTCTGGTTTCTATGTTGACGTCCCTCCCATATCTGGCACTTTCGTTATAAATCTTGGAGATGTTGCTCATGTAAACCTATCTTTCTTCTTAATCTCTGTTAAGATGTCCAAGTATATATGAATGAGCTTGACCTTATGTGGGAAATTCTCATATTAGTAGATAAAGTTAGATTCAATAAGTTCTCATAAGTCTCATATTGGAGGAGCCTTACAAGTGGACTGTAGTTTATAAGTTGAAGAGATTACCTCACTCTATAAGCTAGTTTTTTTTTTTTTTTTTAGTTTTTTAGATGGATTCTTCCTTTAGATTTAGACTCATAAGTGGAGTGAGGTTAGCAAATTTAAAGAGTTTTTTCACCCAACATGCTAGTATTTTGGGACACTCTCTCCTTTTATACTTGTATTCATAACATTTGTGTTTTTGTTGAGAGGCTAATGTCACAAAGAAGGCCTGAGGTATAGCCAACAGGGACATTGGCTCTCAAAGGGGATGATATTGTCATAAGTTTTGCATCAGGAAAGTCTCACAAGTGGAATATGGTTAACTTATAAGTGTGAGGGACTCTCTCATCTATAATAAAACTATTTTATTATAGATGATATTATCCTAATTGTTCTCTCCTCCATTTTCCATCAGTTTCTCTTCGAATAATGTCCTAACACTTCTCTATATATGATGATATAGGTATGGAGCAATGGAAGGATTATGACTGTGAATCATCATGTTGTGTGCAAGGAAGGAAAGTCCAGAATTTATGTAGTGACGAGTATCTTTGGACCAAAGAATGGAGATGTTGAAGTTGCAAAAGAGTTTGTGGACTGTGACCACCCATGTCAGTTCAAGCCTTTCAATTTCAAAAATTACTTAGAAACACGATGGTCCACAAATTTGAGAGTTGGGGAAGCACTTGAATTCTTGCGTGTTCGTCCATCGAATACCGAACACCCAAGACTTGAAGATTAGAGCAAATCAGCAACTCACTGGAAATAGATGAGTTGGAGAGAGAAAGAGATGATAATGAACTCAAAGAAAGGGATATAAGAGTGAAGCAGGCTCTGCCTTCTAGATTCACATGTATGTGCTAATAAGTAGTATAGGACCTACTTCTTTCTTCTTATCTCTTTTTAAATTTTTAAAATAAGAGTTCATCGATAAAATGTAAACTTGCTTTACAATTGTTATGTTTTATTTTTATGATTATTCTTACCAGCTCCAATTTACACTGCTTTCTTTTCCAACAACAATATTTACACTACCAATTTATTATTAAAAAAATTAATTATTTGATCTGTCGATTTAATACTTAGACATGGAACTTTGACTTAATATATCTAAATATCAATCTATATAATTTTGACTTGATTAATTAAAGCCTAGTTCTTAAAGTTTGACTTTTACAATTCAATCCCTAAAGTATTATCTGCATAAAATATTGGTGTTGAGTTAAAGTTTTAAAAACTGAATTACAATCAAATAAAAACTATAAAGATTAAATGATCAATTCTCTTCCTTCTATCTTTTTTTAGCAAACACAATTGGTAAACTAATTAGCATATATACTTTTCATATTCATGATACTTGAAAAGATATATATGGTTATATATGAACTATAAAATATCAATAAACATAGCTTTAAAACGTATTGAAGATTAAATTTAGATTTAATGTTAATGAAACCTTTAATTTGAAGTACTTTATAACTAATTTAGAGGAGGATGAGTTGCTTTGATTAGAGGTATATCTTGAAAGATTATATTAAACCTCCTAGAATTTCAAATAGAATACTATTAAAAGTGAAGTAGGCTCTGCATGTTAGATTCACATTTATGTGCTAAATAGTATAGGACCTACTTCTTTCTTCTCATCTCTTTTATTACGTTTCTAAAATAAGCGTTCAATAAAAATGTAAACTTGCTTTACAGTAATTGTTATGTTCTATTTTTATGATTCTTCTTACCAGTCCCAATCTATATTGTTTTCTTTTTCCAACGACAATTTATACTACCAATTTATTATTAGAGAAATTAATTATTTGATCCCTATGGAGTTAATACTTAGACATGAAACGTTGACTTGATATAATTAATCAATCCATATAGTTTTGATTTGATTAATTAAAGCTTAGTTTCTAAAGTTTTACTTTTACAATTTAGTCTCTGTAGTGTTATCTATTATCTATATAAAATATTGGTATTGAGTTAAAGTTTTAGAAATTGAGTTACAATTGAATAAAAAATATAGAAATTAAATGATTAATTTTTCTTTTTTTTTTGGCAAACACTTGGTAAACTAATTAGCATATATACTTTCCATAAAATTCATAATCCTTGAAAGATATGTATGGTTATATATGAACTACAAAGTATCAATAAACATAGCTTTAAAACTTATTGAAGATTAAATTAATTAATATTTTAGTGTTAATGAAGCCTTTAATTTGAAGTATTTTATGACTAATTTAGAGGAGGATGAGTTGCTTTGAGTAGTGGTATATCTAGAGAGATTATATTAAAGCTCCTAGAATTTCAAATAGAATTTTTAAAAGGGGGCCAAGTACAAGGGCAATAGAAAATTAAATTGGATACTGTTAAAAGGTATGAAGTGAATATTTTAGGTTAAAGTATACTTTTAATTCCATAATTTTATATAATAATTTAATTTAATCCTTTAATTTTATAAAATATATTTTTCAATCCTTTAATCCTAGTATTGTTACATTAGTTTCAAAACTTATTATATGTCAACATTTAATAATATTTTGTCAATATTTAAATTTTTAATAATTTTTTTTAGGTTAGTGAAACTAATAGTGATAGGGTTAAAGGACTAAAAAGACACATTATAAAATTAAGAGATCAAAATGAGATCTTTAATAAAATTAAATGATTAAATATATACTTTAAGCAATATTTTATTTCCAAAATGGAAACTTTCCAGTACAACAAGAAGTGCATGATTATTTATGAATGTTTGTTAGGTTTTGAAAAATATTTTCTTAAAAAAATGGAAATAGACCTATTTCAATTTTTGTTAGGTATATCTCCCAATTCTTTTCTAGATACTTCATTCGTTTAAAAATATAAGACATTTTTAATCAAATCTCACCTTTCAATAAAATAGTTACTTACTTTCAAACTAACCCTATTTTTTTATATTTATCCCTATTAAACACCCTATAATAAATATAAAGTTACTATCAATAGGGGTACTTTTGAAAAAAAAGACAATGATTATACCTCGAAAGACTAAAAATACCTTATATTTTTTAACATTCAACCTCTCAAAAAATGCCTTATATTTTTAAATAGAGGGAGTAATAATTTTTCATATGCTGACCATGTTTTTAATAGTTAAACCATTTTTAAGAGGTTATGCACATGCTAGATTGTGCATTGTGAAGGGCCACAGTAACAGTTGAAACATCCCTATTAGTCACATGCCTCCCTTAGTTTCTTGTACTCCTCTTCTTTGAGAAATTTTAGCATGTGAATTATTGGAATAATTTTCATGATCATGATAATGTCCATGTTCACAATTTTTTATTTCTCCAAGAAACCAAGCATGAATAATTCAGATGTACCTTATGATTTTTTTTTAATGATTGAGTTGCTGTAATGTCTTAATTTATTGTGGGATCTTAATGCAATTCCTTTGAAAAAAAGGTCTTCACTGAATGTTATAGTTCTGTACTGTATCTGAAATACTTTGTACTGTGCCAATAAGTTCAGTGTTATGTCATTAATGACAATAGCCAATGCATTATATGTGTGAATGAACGTTAAAAATAAGCTTTAAATAGAAGCAATGAATCATTCTAGAGGTTTTGCCCGCAAAATCTTCCTAGGACAAGTTGATGGCTTTTTGGAAAGGCCAAGTTTTTGCCAGCAAAATGTTAAACTAATTTGTTTGTTAAGTATTCGTAACTCTTTGTCAAATATAATTTGCTTAAAATATACAAAACTTGTAATATCTTAATTTTTATTTTTAAAATCTAAATAATAGTGGAATGAAATTTCATGATTATTGAAATATACCATGTAATTAGTTGAGTAAACAAATAATAATTTACTAAAAAGGATTTGAAAACATAAGCCTAAGAAAAAGAGAAAATTACAAAGTTAGGTAGGAAAAATATTTAAAATAGTACTTCAATTTATTATATTATAATTATTTAATTATTTGAAAAATTATAAAATGCATATTCAAACCTTTTAAATTTTTAGAGTTTTATAAAAAAAAAATACCATGCATATAAATGTATAGTTTTATTTATATAATGTGAATAGACAAAAAAAAAGAAAGAAAAGAAACAAATATATAAAGCTTTTCTGATAGTTCAGGTTTGAATTTATCTAAAACTTGTCCTAACTTAAAAGGTTATTTAAAAGCTAACTTAAAAGTAAATCTTTTAAATAGGATTACATTTTAATTTTAAATGTCTCAACTATATTTTAGAATTATTAGTATAAATATATAACTTAATTTATCAATTATAATATCTAATAATTAAAAGAACTTACCAACTGCTACAATATAATACAATAATAAAGTAATAATATTAAAATTAATATATAAGTTCAATTTAATTGAAAATGTAAGTAGAAATAAAAAAGAATAAACTATTAAAAATCAATAATGAAATTGATATGTGTGTAATATATTACATAATATATATATATATATATATATATGTAAATAAGATGGCATGTTGAGCTTATAAGCTAGACCTTAAAAAATTAAGTTTAACTTATTTAATTAAATAAGTCTAATTAAAAGGTATGAACCTAACTCGAATTTATTTAATAAATAAATTGGGTTTAGCTTGAAGTATGTCAAGATATAAACATCTGACAGAGGCCAGGTCTATTCTCATGTGAAGGATAACATTATATTACCCTTCAAATCGCAGAGTGAGTGAGACAGAGGGAGGCACTCCATTTTCTTCGTTCCAGCGACGCTGCGTGTGGTTTTGAACAGTGTTTTTAAAATCGGACCTGACTGACCAATCGGATCGACACGACTGTCGACCGGTCTGGTTTTCGGTCTGGTTCAGAGAAAAAAGTCATTTTAGGGATTGAGTTGGGTTGAGCCGTTTCGAACCGGGAACCGGAATCAAGCCGGGAACCGGATCCAGTTTTCAAAAACCAGACTGTTCAAATTTTTTTATTTTTATCAAATTTTTTAAAAAAATGACTAATTTTTTTAATCATTTGATATTATGTTATATCATGTGACTTATTAAGTCATGATAAACTTAAAATATTTGATTTTTTTAAGTCAAATAGCAATTTCATATGTATTTCTTATATTTAAATTATTATATACATATATAATTTTTTTAATTTAATTATTACGTCACCGGTTGGACCAATGGTCCAACCCAATTGAACCATGTGAATCTTGAATCGCTGACTTTTTTGATTCAATGTCCGGTCTGATTCTGAAAATATTAGTTTTGAGAGTCAAATCGAGTTTTTGGATGTTGGTGGTTCTGAAAATTTAATAATTTTTGAACTGTCACAATTTTAAAAATATAGAGAATCCATATTTGCAAAAAAAAAGTGTACTTGAAGAATGTACAAGATTTCATTAATCAAATGACAAGAAAGAACTAATAATATAGGAGAAAATCATTTTCACTAAAAAGCTGTAGCGTAACTTGACGCCTATTCTAAGGATGATCCCCCCCCCCCCCGGGGTATTGGAAATTCCATGGGAGTATACCATGTGTGTAAAAGTTGTTTAGAAATATGATGTGTCCAAAATGTATTTAGCTTCCCAACTCCTGCAAGGCTAGTGCCTAGTAGTTCACCATATTTCAGAATTCTGCAAATATTAATCGGCGCCAGAGCATGCATGTTTTTTAACCCCCCACCCTTATTCCTAGTTTTTTTTTTTTTACCAATTCTTTTTTAACTAACATTATTCCTAGTTCAAAATTCAAATGATACTTTTTTTGGGTA